CGATCCATCTTTCGACGAAAACACGAGCAACTGTTTCGGCAGTAATATCTTTAATGGGTACTGCTTCCGGCCATCGTGTGAAACGATCAACACAGGTGAAAAGGTAGGTACATCCATTAGATTCTGGTAGGGGTCCTACAATATCTATATGGACGTGGTCGAAACGCATGTCTGGGGCTAGAAATGAGCCTAAAGGGCTTTTCGTGTGTCGCGTGACTTTACACTTTTGACAAGCTAAGCACGACTGGGCCCACTCCTTAACGTCTTTGTTCATCCCAGGCCAGCAGAAACGTTGTGCGATAAGCCTAATGGTGGCTCGTACACCTGGATGAGAGAGTTTGTGCAACGTATTGAAGACGTTGCGTCGACAACTCTTCGGAACTATTGGGCGTGGTTGACTAGCAGAGACATCGCACAAAATTGCATCCTTGTCTGATCCAACAGGACAAAGTCGCAGTTTGAGAGTTGTGGACGACAACTCATGATGCAGCTCAAGGTCTTCCTTTTGACGCCGAGCTAGTTCAACGAGATCAATACCCTCGATATAGTTTATCGAAGCTATTCGAGATAGTGCGTCGGCTGCGGAGTTGTTTGCTCCAGAAATGTGGCGGATGTCTGACGTGAACTGGGAAATGTAATCCAGCTGTCGCGACTCACGAGGGGAGTATTTGTCAGACGCCGAGCTGAGGGAAAACGTTAACGGTTTGTGGTCTGTGAAAATAATGAAATCACGACCTTCCACAGAATGTCGAAAATGGCGTACAGAACAGTACATGGCTAGGAGTTCCCTACCAAATGTACTGTATCTTGTTTCCGCGTCTTGCAGCCGCCTCGAGAAAAAGGCTAACGGTTGCCACTGGTTGTCAGTCAACTGTTGCAAAACTGCTCCAATTGCTGAATCAGATGCATCAACAGCAATACTCAGAGGAGCATTGGGGTCATGATGCATAAGCATGGTTGCGTTCGAAATGGCTTCCTTGACTTTGGAGAAAGCAAGTCTAGCCGCGTTGTCCAGAGACACGAACTTCGCAGTTCCTCGAAGTAGATCTGTGAGTGGTCTCATGACAGAGGCACAGTTAGGGATAAACCTTCGGTAATAACTTACCAGGCCATTGAAAGTGCGGAGATGTTTCACAGTGGTCGGCTCTGGATAGTTTGTGATAGCCGCCACTTTATCTCTCAATGGGCGTATACCTTTGTTGTCAATGGTATGCCCAAGGAAGCTGAGTGATTCAACTCCTATTTCACACTTCTGTAAGTTAACTGTGATGCCATGTTTTTTGAGTCTTTCGAATGCGAGGTCCAAATGTTTAAGGTGTGTTTCCTTATCTGGACTCGCAATTAGACAGTCATCTATGTAGACATGAACAAAATTCAGACCACGGAAGACGTCGTCCATAAAGCGTTGGAATGTTTGTGCTGCATTCCGAAGACCAAAAGGCATGCGCAGGAATTCAAACAGGCCAAAAGGAGTAATAATGGCTGTTTTCGCGATATCTTCTGCTGCCATAGGTATCTGGTTGTACGCTTTGACTAAGTCGATTTTCGAGAAAATGTTCATGCCGCATAAGGTTGCGGTCAAGTCGTAAACGTGGGGTATAGGGTAGCAGTCCGGAGTTGTTTTGGCGTTAAGCCTTCGGTAATCACCGGTCGGACGCCAGTCGTTGCTATCCTTTTTGGGCACCATGTGCAATGGCGATGCCCAAGGACTGTTCGACGGTCTGATAATGCCCAGTTCCAGCATATGGTCGAATTCATTTTTCGCCGTTTGCAGCTTATCGGGGGCTAAACGGCGAGCTTTGGATGCCACAGGTGGACCTGTGGTTGTGACGTGATGCATAACATTGCTGGTTATGCACGGAAGAGTGTGTTTCGGTTGTTGTAACTCTGGATATTTCTCCAGAACTGCCTGGTAGGACGCGTCGCCTGATTGTTTAGTCCTAACGATGGCTAAACTCGGACCTACATAGGTGGTGCCGCCAATAGATAACTTTGTGTTGTTATCTATCAGTCGTCGACGGCGAGCATCTACGAGTAGATCGTAATGGTTCAGCAAATCTATGCCAATGATGGGCATAGAGACGTCTGCCAGGAGGAAAATCCAGTGAATAGGTTTGCGTAAACCTAAGTTGAGGTAGGCATACCGTCTCCCGAATGTCGCGATTGCCTTGCCGTTGGCTGCTTGAAGATTGAAGGATGGGTCGAGATGACGCTCCTTTGTCGTTGCTGGAAGAACGCTAACTTCTGCGCCGGTGTCGACGAGGTAGCGGACTTTCGTTTTAATGTCGGTGACGTAGAGCAAACGGCTTTTTCCGCCGGCTACGGTTGCCGTGAGCACGTGCCGGCGTGACCGTTTCCCGAGTTTGTGTCCTTCTTAAAACGGCATGGTTTACGACATTTTCTGGCTTCATCCCCGTAAGTGTTATGAAACCAGCACCATTCAGGGTTTTCCACCCTGTTGGGTTTCGTTTTAGGGCTACCACGCGACTTGCTGCGATGCGCCAAGGTGCGTTTCTGTGAAGTGCTACGTGATCTAGGACTTCGAGATCGTAGCAACCGTTTCACAGAGTTGCACAACTTGGTCACCTCCGAATCCTGGCGCTCTGTTTTGTCACAGATAGAATATACGTTGGAGACGGGTCTGCTGGATATCTCCAGTATTTTATCTGCTGAAGCTGCCAGGTCGTCGAGTGGGACTGACTGGAGTGTCACCAACACGGTTTGCACCGGTTGTGGTAGTTTCGAGAGAAATAGTTCTCGGAAGAAACCATCGTCAAATGTTCGTGCACCGATTACTTCTCGCATGCGTGCGAGGACTTCAGTAGCTGAGTGGCTGCCTAGCTCGATGTTACGAAGCAATTCGTCTAGACGTTGGCGATCTGTGAGATCGCTTTTCTTCAAGAGTGCAGCCTTTAGAAGTGCATAAGGGTCACTTACTTCAGGATTAAACATGTTTGCTGTAACAACCTGTTTAATTCTCGCGGTAGTGAACGTATGACGGCAAGAAATCGAGATGAGGATCTGAGACACCCTGTTCTCGAAAATCGGCCTCGGCATACAGAAACCATGTTTCTGCATTGTCTGGCCAATATGGCACGAGTTGGATCGTGTTCGAGGTCGGCTTAATACGAATAAGCTTGGGAGTGTGGTCGGACATGAGAAAGTGTAGTAAATGGATATATAAATGTTATCGAAATGAAAACAATAAACAAATATAAAATGGAACAGGCTCACCAATTCAATACTTGCTATTGGTCGGGATATGGTCGGATATTTGATCACGTCGGGCTCACCAATTTAGGATTTGTCCTGGTGCGAACTTGACAGACGCAAAGACCAATCACTAATTATTCGAACTTGTTATATACCCACGAATACGAGACCAAGGAAGAACACGATAGCGTAGTCGGATGGAATAGTATATTTGGATGGTTATGCCAAAATACCGATGCGTTCCAACTAACTGGCTAGAGAGTCGAATACGAGCAATGCAACGTAACACGACAGCGTGCCAAATGGCGAGGATGCTTGACCGGATGCCTTCAGCTTAGCGAGTCCAGTTAAACTATCAAGGTCAGCATCAATGTCGAAGTCGTCAAACCCTAGGCTATTGATTTTGGGGAAGTGTATGACGCTACACTATTACCACGGATGTATCACTTTAGCTTAAAGTTCTCTTTCTAGTTAACGTGGTAAAAAAGATCAAGCACAAACGCCATCTCCCACGACTGACCAGTTAGTTAACCTTAGACCTCATGTGCCTCTAAATATGGCTACATCATCACTTGCAGTTCACAATGCTTTGATTGACCAAAGTATTTTTTGTTGTATAGTTTGTGACCTGAGTGTAAATTTAGAAATTGGCTGAAACTGTAAATCATGACCAAAGTGGCATCTTTGAAAAAAGGTTGATACGGATGAAGTGAACACTATGCCCAACAAAAATCACTAGTGTATATGACTACTGAAGATATAACTATTTTGATACTAAAACTCACATTTATACACTATATCCTGCCGTAAGTAGCTAATAGACAACGACCTCATGGATAATATCGGTATATTATTCTGGCATGATCCTTCATATCGACGTGACTTAAAGGCCACCCCAGCAACCGTGAGATAGTCAATCAGGCTTCAGTATTTCGTCTGAGAAGGTAGTTTTCAATAAAATAAATTAGTCCTCTCAGCAGTTGTTTGGGTGGCGTTTAAAATCTTTCTTCATACCTAAACTAGATTTCAAATTTGCGGAGACTGATAAATCCATCCCCAACTGTTAACTAAAATCAATTACAAACTGCACTGTACCAACTTCTTATAATATGTTAGACAGTCCTAAGTCATTTTGCTAATATTCAATTCCCTTAAAATACCCGTGTGCACGTCTCATAACACTGTCTGTTTTTGTAAATGTTACTACTGTAAACAAAGTTATGTACCGTTGTGTGACTTAAGTTAATCGAACTGTTTAGGGATGTTATATGCGCATTTGAATCAAGATTTGACCGGATAGCTTCACAAATACACTTAGGTGTGCTTAAAATGGCTGGATTGTATGAGCGTAAGGATTTCACCCATGGTACTACGCAATTTTATATCGCGAAAATAGTACAACGACCCAACTTAGATGTATGATATCGAAAGTGACAATCGCTATCCTCATCCTACTACAATATAGTCAAAAGACTTCGACCATCCAATACTGCTTACATAAACGATGAAAACGTTAGATTCGTGTTTTGAGAAATATACCACTGATATTGGCGAAATTCCAGTGTCTAGCTATAACTTCTTCATTTCAAAACTCTCTTCTGTTCCGTGTTATTCCGCCCACCTCTTTTGTTTTATCTTCTCAGTCAATATTGTATATTTTCTTTGCATGATTTCCCACCAACCCCGCGGTGTTACTTTCCATGTTGTCATATACACTACTTATAAGTTGTTCTGATTACAATGAGAAAACGGCCACCTCCCTGTTCTAATCAGAAGGCCTATTCATTAATTAGAAGTTCGACTTCAAAAATGAAACCGTTAATGTACTCTTCAATAAGAGTAGTAGGAAAGGATTTGGACAGCCACTCATTTTTACTTACTGTAGTCCGGGTAAAGAAAAAAATGTATTGTAAAGTGAACACCTTATATGCAGAACTTGCAAATGTGTTTAAGATATTATTTCGTTTCACATGAACTCTGACAGTTCGATGATTGAAAATACAACGACAGTAAATATTGAGCAGGATGTCGTAATGATAGAGATTAGAAAATATTTCCAACTGTAGGTTACATTGTTTAAAACACCATTTCATATATACAGTTAGCAGAAACTAATGTGGTTCAATTATGATTTTGAGAATCCCAACAAGAGAAGACATCCAATAAGATAAGTGAATATGTAAAGTCAAACAACTATCTAATATTTCTGAAGGTTGACAGAGAAAAAAATATGAATTTTATTTAACGCTGAAACAACTTTATTATTCACTCTAGTAAAGTATTAAAAAAAAAAAAGGAACATAAGAACAATATAATACAAAAATAACAATAATCATAGCATATAAAAAGATTAGAATACAAATTTCTGAACAAGTGATAAAATTACAAGAAAGGATAGTTTATAATACAACTAATTACAATAGACGTATTCGGCAGTTAGGCTCCCCACAATAACAATACAACACTTTATATGGTACAGCATCAACAGTGTATCCATAATCCCAAGTCATTTCTTCGCCAACATCTATGTTCCTGAAATTAATTATAAATATAATAAAGAATAAATACAACTACAGTATTCAATTAATTAAGTGAATTCAATAAATAAAAATAGAAAAGTGTAATAAAATATAGAAAAGATGATGCTACTATAATGATACTATATAATCCGAAAATCATAAAAGTGAACAGTTTCAATTAGGTCTCCAAGAAATACACTACAATACTAAGGATTAAAAACTTTCTACTATTCAAAATTCACAAACATTATCTAAATACAAAGTTTGAAGACTTTTCTTTAAAACTGTTTTTTATCAAGTAAACAGTTTGGTTACAAATACTTCCATGAGGACTTAGAACGGAAGTCAGACAGTAAGTGGACAGAATATGTTCTCAATGAGTTTCAACACCGAGATTGAGCTTACTTATAACTGAATTAGCAAGTTGTTGATCTAGTTATACACTACTGAAGCTTTTTATAACTGTACAACTATTCGCCTTACTTTTAAAACAGGAATATCTCTAGTTAACAGATTGTATATTGAACAAAGCAAACATATTTACATTTAAACACTTTTCTTTCATGTTATACTACGTCTACAGTACAGTAGAATCAATAATAGAAAAGTAAACTGAAGAATTTAAACCAGTTTCAGTTATTACGAATAATGCGCCAAGTTCACGCCGATCTAATAACCAACATGGAGGTAAAGGAATCACGATAAAACAATTTCAGGCAGTATGGTTTCAGTACACTAAGCAATTAAATGGTTTCCATCTATTCTATGACTTGGAATATTGACAATCATAATTATAAAGTGATAAAATTAAAACAAAATCAATTTTCCTATAACCTGGACTAGAAATTAACTGGACCGCTTTTTTTTCCGTGAATGAAACAAAGGATTATAAAAATCAGATATAGTTCGGCACAACTTAGTAGTGAAAGAATTCAACTGTTCCAATGTTTAGTGTGATCTGTTATTACATTAGTTTTGAATAACTTTCGTTATCCTGTTCAATCCATTTCAAATAAACATTATTTATTTTACTTAGAAGAGTGATAACAGCTAGGGAAGCGAATTTTTATATTCTTATAGACAAAGAATGCATACAAACGGGTAGCTTGTGAAACGACTTAAACATTTATCCAGTCTGAATATTATGCACCTTACTGTAGTGGGACCATCTGTATTTTCTTCTATTCTAGTACACCTTGTTCAGTGTCCACTTGTTCTCAGTTCTTGTTTGTTCACCTTATCAGTATAATGTTGTGCGGTTTTTAAATATACACAGATAAATTGCCTTATTAAGCCTTACTTTAACTTTGTGCCCAGTGAGTAACTTATCAACTGATACATAATTGTCACTTATTGATATCATTTATTTGTCAGCGATGAGAAATGAAGAGATCCAGAGGCAGGCATTTCTTGCCAACTCAAATTCATCATTAGACTCTACCTACATTTCAGTGAATCCATGGAGAATGGAACCTAGCCGTCAACGCTTCAGTCATCATCCATTGGATTAAAGTCATGAAAATCAATAGTCCAGAGGGCATTAATTCTTGTTAATGGTTTGCGATACCACTTTATTCACTTGACTGTATCAAAATGAGTGACTTCTACTCGTATATGAGTGTCTTGATACTAACGTGAATCTTATCATTATGCAATTTGTTTGGTAGCTGCTTTATGTTTCAGTAGAAATATATACAAGTCCCAATGCCTCCCACTTACAAGTCTGAAACAGAAAAAAATGCATATCACGATCTGCTTTTCGTTAGTTTTGTAGAACAGATTCATATCACTGAACAGATGTATCATTAATTCATGTTTAGAATTATCTAGATAAGACAAGGACCAGTAAATATCGTTTGAAACATCACTGTGTATTACATCAAATAAACTCACTTAGTACGGATTTATAAGTTACCACGATGTCCGAATTCTACTCTTACGCTGGCGATATGTGAATCAACTCAACTAATATCTGCACCCCATAACTTACGTAAAATGAATGCTATATGGAAATAATTACACTTTACCTTAGAATATGGATATTTTTAGTGACTTTTAATCGTAGAGTATACCCTCAGTAGTTGTTTTGGTATGCGCCAACAAGGTGTACTTGTCACATATTGGAATAGGATGAAGACTAAAGGATTTGGAATACATTTGGACACATGTTATCGATACAAATTGATGAGATCTACCGTCTTTGACTGGGATGGTGAACAACAGAAAGCTGACAGAATTATAAGTTTCACTGAGTATGAAAACACATTTCGCTGATAAACGCTTAACAATTACGACAAAGAAGTCTACAGCATATCTTACCACAGTATGTCATAAGAATTCAACACCAAAGCATAGTGCACCATATAGTCCAGTTAATTAGCTTAATTGTTACATTAGGCTTGTTAACACGCAAACATCGAAGATTATTGGAAATTGGATCATTATTATTTCAGTTACGATATGAAAACAGATTGGCAGAAAATTTCTTCTAAAGTACTCGATGCTATACCCTTCAAGCTTGTAGACACCTATCACTTTCTCAGTCTAAACAATGACCAATTCATATTCTGCGACTACTCACCGAGTAAACGCTCCAATGGCCTAAATGGAGACCAGTATTTCAAGTCATCAGTCACGAAGGTAGAAGTTTTGGATTTCAACCTTGTTTCATTTTACTGTGTGGGCAGGAAAACCTTATTGGACAGCTTTGTCCTTCAGTTGGCCAATGAAAATAAGCATCCAACTCTTGACCTTGTGACTTTATATTCTGAGGAAAAACTGTACATAACTGATATGTTTTTTGTCAAACAAAGTTGTCTTCCTTACAGTAACGAGTCTATCTTCGTCTTTTGATTTTCGCTATTCAGTGAAGTATCATGTCTGAGGGAGAACAGCGGCTATTCGTATCCTGTCCAATTATCTCACTGACTTAGTACTGTTCTCGTATTTTGTATTACTCTATTATTCACTGCCACTTACTTACATCACTACTATTTTAAATTTCTCTTTAAGTCTACTGAATATAACTTAGCCTGGACAGTGAAGGGTGAAGCTGGATTGTCTGTATCTTCGAGAATATCTGCACGCACCTTCACAGTAAAAATTAAAAAGATATTTTATGTAATAGTTTTCTACAATGTAAATGCTCAAATTTCTTAAAAGTGGAGTGAAATTCGAGCCTTTGATCTAATTACTGAAAGTCAGTTGTCAAATTTTCTACCTTATATTTCCCTCGGAAACTAGACACTCCTTAGAGAAATTTGTGAAATGGGTAATTTTATATGTGAGAACTCAATTTAGAGAAACAACACACCGTTTGGTGAAGAATGCAACCTCAGGAAATCGAGGATCATGTGTATCGATAAAAACATTTTGAACGAATACATTCGGATTACAAGAATGATTGAAGTAACGTCCCAGATTCCCCATCTTTTTAGCATCCATAATATACGGATTAATATCATTAAAATAGGATCTAGCATGTAACCAATCCTTTTGAGCAACAGGATATACGCGTTTATTTAATTGCTGGTTTTGTTGATGAGCTTGAGACTGCTGCTGTTGTTGTTGCAGCTGGTGCGCATAATGATGGTGGCGGTGGTGATGGGGACGAAGATGATGATGGTGGTGCCGATGATGACTCTGCCTTTCACTTTCCCTCTGATGCGATTTCAGACCTCCAACTGACTTTCTATCCTTGATTTCAGGTTCTAGACTAGCGGAACGTTGTGCTGAAGAAAAATGAAAGAAACACTTTGTTAGCCGATAGCAAAAACTTTAGTTTAGAGAACGGTTTCCGTAAATCTAATACTTACCTATTTACACGGAACTAGTGAAATCCAACGGTGAGAAATACTTAATTACTGAACAGCATATAAGTGAATAACCGAAAACATAACGAAACGGGAATCACCTTACGCTATCTGTGGTGCCAACATGATATCTGATGTCTATTAAGAGTTTAGCATACTGCGCTACAGTTTGTTTAGTTCTACTCTATGGCTGTAAAACATGGTCATTAAAGGTTAGAAAATGAGGTTTCTTGTGTTTGATTATCATTGCCTTCGTGGCATAGGCCGTGTGTCATAGTGTCACCACGTGAGTAACTCGGAAATCAGGCATAGAGTTTTAGAGAGGAGAGGAAAGTCAGTTGAAACAGTTGTGAACCTAGACTGGCTTAAGTGTCTAAGACGTGTGTTATGCATGCCTAGTCACCGTCTGCCTCGTTGCGCAATGTTAGTTGAAGTAGATTCACTCTGGAAAAAGGCTCCGGGCGCCCAGACTAAAACTTGGCATCAGTGTATAATGTCCTTAACTTGATTTGATCAGTGTTAGGAAATGTAGACTAGCCGGTTGGGGTCAGTGTGACAACAAAAAATAATGATTGGAGACTCTAGGTGACACAGCTGAGAGTTGATGTCAGTGGCACAGATATATCCTCAGATAATCTTTACCTTAATCGTCATATAGAATTTATCTATTCCTCCTTCCTCTCTTTTAATCCTTTTGATTGACTCTTCTGTTTCTTTACCTTACAATTTATTGCCTTGTTGTTTGATGCGGTGGACCGTTGTGCAGTAATAATGCCTATATATATATATATATATATATATATATATATATATATATATATATATAAATCCATGAAAGACTTGGAATTAAAAAAAGGCTTAACAAAAATAAACCGTAGTTAGTCTAGCACAATAAAGGAAGGGTAATCTGGTCGTCATTATTGTTCCTGTCAAAGTTATGCCTTAACACCATACATGATAAACTGGAAAAAAATACAGATAATATACTTTTATAACGAGTAGAAAACTATAAATTATCGAAATGAAACCTTACCTTTTACCCGACTGCGTAATTCTCTACCCGTTGTGATGTTCTCATCACTGTAGACAAATGAATAATTGAAATATCTTTAAGTTTAGATTCATACATTAAGCTTTGTAAATCAAATGGAACTTAAGGAAAATGAATAACGCTTCAATACACCACATAATCCCTGAACACTTTCATAACCAATCAATCGTGTTGCATCGCAGTTCCGAAGGTAAGCAGATGAACCAACGGGTGAAAAAATATATATTTAGGGGTGAACTCTTGAACAATAACCTCAGACTTCACCCATAATGATCGTTCGGTTAATCGAAAACAGAAAGAAGAGGTAAAAACGATGAAGGTTTATTGTCCCGTCAAATATGTACAAAAAATAACGATTTATATACTTTTGCTGCAGCCCTTGAGAGGTTCTACACCTTTCTAGTGAGCCCTTTAACCAGTTCGAGTCTCATATATATGATCACGTGTTTTCTCTCGAATGTTCAATCTGCTATGATTGGGTGTGAAGGCTTTTCACGAATTTCCATGCTACTACACACTCCATAACACATCATCATCATCACCAAAATCAACACAGGACCAGGCATTACTGCGTAACAGTACGATTTGCCACAGCTCACATCAGTACATCAAGTAAAAAGGCAACAAAGTGGAGGATGAAGAAAATAAAATTCAGTCGAAAGAAACATAAAATACTAAAAGAGAGAAGAAAGAATGAGAAAATAGTGAAATTTGGTAAAACATTAAGCTGGGGATAATGTGTGTATACATCTGCACCACTGACATCGGTTCTGAGCCATGTGATCACCTAGAGTCAGTCTCCAAACACTGGTTCCTCTTGTCCCGTGGACTCCAACCGGCTAGTCTGCATCGTCCCACATGGCTGAAAGTAACAGTCAAAGACTTCATGCATTGATGGCATGTTTTAGTCTGGTCACCCCCGAGCCTCTTCCCAACCTGAACTTACTTTGGCTAACATTGTGTGACGAGGCAGACGGTGACCAGTCATGTGTAACACATGTCCCAACCAGCCATTTCAGTCGATGAAGGTTCACAACTGTGTCAACTGATTTACCTCTTCTCCTTAAAACTCTACACCTGACTTTTGTGTTACTCACGTGGTGACACTACGGAATACGGCGGCCTATACTACGAAGGTAACGGTGGTCAAACGCTTGAAGCCTTCTCATGTCTTCCACCTTCAATGGTCATGTTTCATAGCCATACAGTAGAACAGAGTGGACTGCTATGCAGTACATGCGACCCTTAATAGAAAATCGGATATCAAGTCGACGCCATAGGTGTCGTAAGTTGGCAAAAGCTAACCGAGTCTTTTGTATTCATGCAGAGATTTCATCGACCACTGAGCCACCAGGGCAGGGCTGATCCTACTTCCCAGCTAAGTGAAGTGGTCAACACACTCAACCACTACACTCTCTATTGTTAGCCGCAGTGGGGCACGGTTGAAGACCAATCGTGGAGCACCAATTTGCATTTGGGTGGTGAGAAACGCATCTCAAACATTCTCAAATTGCAACTCAGGGTTTTCAGAAGACTGCATCTTGTCAGTGTCTTCACTTAACAGGACTATGTCATCTGCATATTCTGGGTCTAACGGAAATTCTCCTACGATCAGGTCAACGTGTGTGTAATCAGATGACGAGAGAGAGAGAGACCTCCATAAGAATATCTATGATGAGATTGAATAAGAATGGAGAGAGTGGGCACTCTTGACGGACAGCACTCGACGAGTGCAGCTCCCTGGACATCTCACCATAGGCTCTGACACACCCATAGGTGTTCGAGTAGCAAGGCAAAAATCCATGGGATATACTAATCTAGGGAGGCCCATAAATAGTTAAGGCTACTGCATATATATATATATATATATATATATATATGGAACCTTAAAAAATGAATAACATTCCAATATACCGCATAACTCTACAAAGGAGATCCACTTTTCTAATGTTTCTCAGCACAGATATCCACAGATGAAACTTCCGTGCTGAAGGATATTCACAAATCTAATCCAATGAGTGAGTAGAGTTAACATTAAAAGAAACGGTTTTGCAAACTCAACCAAACAACAGAAAAAGGGATTAGATGTCACTGTCTGAATGTTAAACAGGTTCAGTTTCCAAGTGGAACATTAAAACATTGTAACACAACAATACAGAGCTAATGATAAGTGGTTCAGTTAGACAAAACATATTTTTTTTCGGATTTGAACATTAGTTATCAATGTATAACAACACAATCAGAGTGCTCAGTGACTCAAATGATTTACGAAGATGACTATCAACCAGTGGGTCACGGGTTCGAACTCTATTCCACCTACCAAGATTTAAACAGCCGGATAGTATTACTAATCCTCAATACAATAGGTATGGCTCATTGCCTACTGAACTGAATTTGACAGAGGTTGCTGAGTAGATTAATTAAAAATAAATAAATCACAGAAATATAATCAATAGCATTTTATAGTATTCACTAAGAATATTTATGGATTTATTCACTTACGTCTTGTCAGATAAATTTGTGTTAGGCAGTGAATTTCGTTTGCTTCTTGATGAATTGGAGAGTTGAACTGTTGTGAATGAACCTGTTGAACTGACACGTCGAAGTCTCAATTTAAGACTACCTTTATGCTTAGATAATGATGATGATGATGATGAGTTTGAAACTTTCTGTGATGTATGAACTTTCGATGAATTGTTGATTTTCATATCTAACTGCGAGTCACTGAAAATTATTTTTTTTAAATGATGACGAGGATAAGAAAACTGTGACAAAAGATAACAGTCTTTTTCAGAAAAGGTAATCATAATTTATAAAAAAAAAAAGAAAGCTAGATAAACACTTCAAGAATTTTAGTTCAACAGGTTGATTAAGAGGCTACTCAATAAATTATTTTTCAACAGTTATTAGAAGAAGAACGGTGGGTATCTAAGGGAATTTTGTTAACTCCGAGCTCTGCAATACATGTCTATTCACCATGTTCGTCTGTATCCGGGTGTATTAGAGTAAGTGTGTGAGATTAGTGAAGAACAACAAGTTAGAAAGTTCACTCGGTTTTATGTTTATATAAAATGGAAAACAAAATTTTATCACTTTGAACCAGACTGTACATTAACGAACATTTGATGAATGCCTAAGAAGACGAAGTGAGTAGATGGAGTAAGTTCACGATTACAAGGAATAACAATAGGTATGGCAGATAGGCAAAAAGTGACATTGTAGTCTACGTGGTGACTAACAGTGAAATCCAGAACACTTGTTTCGTCCTGTTTAGGACTTATCAGCTGGAAGTACTTGCACCCCAGTGAGCGATGTTGTTCCCGCTGAGCCTTGAACCCAATACCCATCAATTCAAACGCCAAGGAGTTATCCACTAGGTCACTTGGGCACGAGAGCCACTTGTGCAACAGGTATCATTTGTTGTTGCAACAAGTATCAAACAATAACAAATGACACCTGTTGCACAAGTGGTGGCTATCGAGCCCCAGTCATTCAGTATCAGTGCGAACATCACTCACTAGGGTGCAGGTACATCCAGCTGACGAGTACCAAGCACGACGGGATGTGCGTTCTGGATTTAACTGCGAGTTACCAAGATGAATAAAAAATAATAAATTATTCATTCAACGAGTATATATTTATTCTTATGGACGATAAACTACTCTTACAAGTCAATTCTTTCTGTTTCTTCGGATGCAACGAACAGTTGGTTTGTAGAAGTTTAACAATATAACAGTTAAGGACATAAAAGCCCTATCAAGTAGATATTTTACTTATTTCCAAATGATTTCCTTCTCTTTTGTTGTTATTTTCTATCAATACTCCGCAATATATGCGCCATGATTGCCATCTAACGCTGAAGTTCCTGATTTAATCTCCTAGATATGAAAAATTTCAAAACCCCCTATAGGAATGTAAGGAACATAAGCAATAGCCTAGAAAAAGTTGTAAAAAACAATCTGTTGGTTACATATATAGCTTTGGTTGTGTATGCCCTGAGGCTCAACAGAGTAAGCATTCTATTTAGAACATATGAATTTAACAAATCCAGCTCAGGTTAATTCAACTTTAAGCAATGAATATACACCTGAAAAACATTGTTTATCACTACATACTTGTCCAAAGAACTTTTCTGTATATTGGCAGATTTTTTACAATCAACTGAATACGTTGAACTGACACAATCTTCAACCTTTATGTCTTTCTTCTCTTCTGTAGGAATTTCTGAATTAGACAATGGATCATCTAAGCACTTTGTAAGTTCACCTTTCTTGTTTTCAATTGATGAACAGTCGTCTTCTCGTTTAACTGCTACAAAAATAAAATAAGACGACACATAAGCAGATATATTGAGAAACCGTCTGGCATGCTAATTGAGAAAGACTCTCTAAGCTGCCAAACTCAGATTAACTTTCTACACCCACCCAATCCTTCGATTTTGCGTAAAGGATAGGATAGCTTCTCTTGGCCACCTCAATGAGTGTTTATCAATTCACCTGCTCCTGTGGAGTAAGGTATACTGGCCGTTCTCAGCGTTCGCTTTCCAAAGGCATTTCCAAACATATACCAGACTGGTTCCATAAAGGAGAACACTTCATACCTCTATTTTAGGACATTTGATTGATTATGACCACCTAGTAAGTGCAGAAAACAACTTCAGGGTCATCTAAAGAGTTCATGCAAATCTCGTGAAAGGTGTACGCCTGAAACTTCTTCAAACTGCGGAAGCTATGGCAATTAATATTTTGAAGCTTGAACTCTGCGTTCAAAAGATGTTTGTCTGGTCATTTGAATTGCGATGGATATAACCTATACGAACATCTTTACCTTCAAAAATCTTATTCAGATAGAATACACTCCATCTCTTCACTCTTATATTTCTCATTTCTTTTCACATTCACCGTATTACGTAACTTAAGTAACCAAATATTAATTCCGTTTTGATAAATCATCTTCTCATTACTGTTTCAGACAGTACGTAACTCCTTTTTTCCGACCTCCTGACTTATAATCAAATGTGAACTTCGTTCAAAATATTTCATGAAACATTCTTTTTCTATTACTATGTGAATAGAATATTTAAACGTGATTGTATAGTTTGAGAATGATATCGCTGAAAGAGTGACTTTTCGCTAAACGTCTTTTGTTTTAAAACAGAATAATTCAAAGCTCAATCACCAGAGGAGCGCATACGTGCTAACAGATTTATATTATTTTAAGGATCTCAACTACTGCAATTATTGAATTCATATGTAGCTCATATAAACAACCAATTCATGCAAACACTGAAACCACGCTCTTGTCAGGCCACCAAAAGGCTATTAATCTATTGTAGATTACAGCTACCATCGTTCATCGGTAGAAGTACCGTTTCAACATGCACGGAACGAATTCCAGACATTGTCATATATATCTGTTTCACAATCTTAATGATTCTGTCCCCTTGGTTAGAACTCTTCTTTTTCCATGAGTTAGTGATCAGTTAGTCAACCTCAAAATATGATCTAGCATTACTGAGCAACTTTAAGTTGCAACAGCTCGCATAGGTAAGTCAAGAAGATGGTATTCAGAAGAAAGAAACTCTACATTTCCCTACATGGCTCAAATCGACAGTGAGAGACTTCACAAACTGATGTCGTGTTTTAGTCCGGTCACCTCTAACCTTTTCATACCTTTAACCTACCTCAGCTCATATCACGCGTCACGGTGGCTAGACATACGTAACAACACATTCCTAACCAATTTAAGTTGATGAAGGTTACTGATTTTTATCTAAAATTCTGCACCTAACCTCTACGTTACTTACTTGGTAGTTTCACGACAGCCTATGCTACAAAGGTGATGGTGGCTGAATACCTGAAGTTTTCATATGTCCTCCACATTAAATGATCATATTTCACTGTCATGTACTACAGTAAAGTAAATTATTGTGCAGTACTCTCAACCTTCATTACCTGGTAAAAACCAGTCAAGCCTTATTGTATCCATATTGAGACTTCTTCGATCACAGATACGTTAAGGTCATTACGCATCCAACCACTTCACTTTTCATAGTTTTAAAAAATAAAAATGTACACCAGTCCTGGAGCAATAATTTGCATTTGAATAGTAAGATGAGTTAATGATAGAAAATGAGAAAGTGTAGTTATTTTTTATATGGGTGTAATGAACAGCTGCAGTGTACATCTAAAGTCGAATCATCAGATTTCATTACGAACATATTACCGTTAAATGTGAAACTATGACTCAATGGTTCAAGTATTCAACTATCAACATTTCGGTTGTAGATTAAACAATAGGAATAGTTTACAATCTATTAGTTGTCACTGGGTTATACAAAGCAATTTTCAACATACGAATATTGATTTCACTGAAATCATTACCTAACGAGTTAATTTTTTAGCTGAAGCGTATTATACTTCGAGAAATGAAATTATCAAATCACTCGAATGTGATTATACACCTAAAATGTCTCGGTTACATCTTATAATGATCATAAACTGAAGAGAGTTGGATATACAATTGAAAGCTGATGAAACCCATGAAGATAACCCGTGTGAATCTTCGGTCTCTACAATGAAGATAAAATAATGAAGCAAACTATATATATATATATATATATATATATATATATATTATATATATATATATATATATATATATATATATATATATATATATATATATATATATATATATTTCATAATAGATATCCAACAACACTCATTAAGTGGTGACTGTAGCACTAACTGGTTGTCTAAATCGAGGTATGTGGAATACTATCCACTGGATGAAAACTGAGTGTCTAATCCGATGACCAACAGTTTAAATGGTGATAACAACTGTAAACTCCAATTAGAATAAAAATCATTGAGAGGAAGTTGAATTCAATACTATTCAATTACTTAAAAATATCTACATTTTCTACTAGTGATAAAATAGAACAGACTAAAAAAAACCCAACGAATAACCTGGCACAGAAGTACATCGGTTCAATAATAATATCAGTGAAAAACTTAAACACCGTGGTAAAATGTAATTTCATACTAGACTTATCTGATACAGCACACAGAGATTCACTTGAAGATTTTCGTGGTGTCACCCAGTGAGTAACGCAGAAGTCAGGCGTAGAGTTTTAGGCAAGAGAGGTAAGACAGTTGATGCTGTTGTGAACCTTCATCAACTGAGATGACTGGCTGTGACATGTGTTACAAATATATATATATATATATATATATATATATATATATATATATATATATATATATTTCATAATAGATATCCAACAACACTCATTAAGTGGTGACTGTAGCACTAACTGGTTGTCTAAATCGAGGTATGTGGAATACTATCCACTGGATGAAAACTGAGTGTCTAATCCGATGACCAACAGTTTAAATGGTGATAACAACTGTAAACTCCAATTAGAATAAAAATCATTGAGAGGAAGTTGAATTCAATACTATTCAATTACTTAAAAATATCTACATTTTCTACTAGTGATAAAATAGAACAGACTAAAAAAACCCAACGAATAACCTGGCACAGAAGTACATCGGTTCAATAATAATATCAGTGAAAAACTTAAACACCGTGGTAAAATGTAATTTCATACTAGACTTATCTGATACAGCACACAGAGATTCACTTGAAGATTTTCGTGGTGTCACCCAGTGAGTAACGCAGAAGTCAGGCGTAGAGTTTTAGGCAAGAGAGGTAAGACAGTTGATGCTGTTGTGAACCTTCATCAACTGAGATGACTGGCTGTGACATGTGTTACAAATGCCTAACCACCGTCTGCCTCGTAGCAAAATGTTGGCCGAAGTAGGTTAAGCCCAGAAAAAGGCTCAGGGTGGCCAGACTAAAACATGTTGGTTTGAGCCATGTAGGGCGATGCAGACTATGCAGTTGGGCTCCACGGGTCAAGAGATACCAGTGATTGGAGACTTTAGAGAATATAACTGAGAACCGATGTGAGTGGTGCAGTTGCATACACACATTATCCTCAAATTAACCGCTATACTTAGTCTTATCATCTCATCTTTCCTTCTTCTCTTTTACTACTCCCTTTGACCGATTTTTCTTTCCTACTTCATCTTCCATTTCATTGCCTTGTTACTTGATGTGTTGATATGAGGCGTGGCAACTTGGACCGTTACGCAGTAATGCCTGGTCCTATGTCGATCTTGATGATTAACTTGAAGATGTTTCAAGGAATCAGTTACTTTTCATAATAAAATCAAAGTAATCAGACAACTTATGGCTGGATGTTTAAAGTTGTGAGGAATAATTTATGCTCAAAGCTCCATTAGGTAAATAATCTCGTATCATTACGTGATATCAAATAAACAAATCTAAAATGGATATCCATCGGTTCAACTTGCCACACTTCACAATACCATATAAAGAACAAATGTTCAGAAAAGAGTGATACCAAAATAGACAAAAGTATGTCCAATGCGAAAGAATTCTAGAAATGAAGTTTAGTGAAAATGTTCAAGGTAGGGAAGATGTTAACGAGTGGATACTTCTCCATTAATGTGATCAATTTTTAGCCATATCACTAAGTATCTCCAACAACTGATTCCAATCGTGTCGAGTACCCGAACGAGCCAGTCTAAACCTCACTACATGGCACAGAAAAACAGTTACAAACCTCATCGAGTTATACTATGTCTTGGTTTGATAACCAGTGAGCCTCCTTCTAACCCAATTCTTCTATAGCTAACCTTCCGCATAGAGGTGGATGGTGCATTGGTATACGAAGAACACGTCTAAACCACCTCAGTCGGTCGATGTTCAAAATCTCATCAACTGGTTCGTCTTATTTGCTTAGCATTATAAGGTTTCCCATCATTTCAAACTATTTCGAGAGCAACAAGCTTCTGTGTACTCACCGGTAGAAGAGCTTCCATTCAGAACCAGCTTTTCTTTTCACAGGAAAGTTTAGACCGGAAGATCATACCATAAATTATTAGATATTGACCACTTATCAACTGCTGTACTGCGTGGAAGATTTCACAACAAAACGGTAGAAAAATGGTGCATCTAATGGTCTCAGATGGTCACAAAAGATTAATCAAAGATAATAACATGATTGCAAATCAATAATCACTGAACTAGATATGATAAGTAGATTCACAACAGCCATCAACATAACAACTAAGAGAAAAAACAAGTAAAGGAGGAAGAAGCTGAACGAGAAACTACTCAAACTGTCAAAACAAACAGGGTGAAAGGGAGAGATAAGAGACGAATGGGTAGTGTTTCCTCCAAACAGCTCACTATCGGCGATGAAGCATGATTTACCTCAGAGACGATTGGACCACAACAATGGAAATGCAAGCAAACTAAACTTCAGAGCTTCGTTGTGTTATATCGCCTAACTGATAGCTGGTGTTCATGAATTCATTGAACAACCCGATGGCTAGAGTGGCCAACGTATTGTTGTGAGTAATCCTTGCAGGTAAATTGGTAGATTATATTTGTCCTTTGGCAATGGATCCTTTAGGTTGCATAACATGCTATGTAGTGATTTTGTTGGTTTATGAGCCAGTTCAATTACGAATGGATGAAGTATTCGGTTGACTGTTTCTAAGACATCCTCACCTAGTTAACTAGTTCACTAGTTACTAGCCGGTCCTAAGACCGGATAAAGAGGGAACGTTAGGCATAGGGCTAGCAACCCTACCCAGGAAAACCAATTCAATCGCTAGAGAAACTTCAAAGCACAAATAAAATATAAAAACAAACTTATTCCTCGCTGGAATTGGAGAGATGAAATGACGCCGGTTGGTGAAAGCCTTCGAGAAGCCAGTCGGCAGATGTGTCTCCTATCGATGAAAACGAAAGTAAACATGGGGACATGGAATGTCCGCACCATGTATGAACCTAGCAAGGTTGCCCAGATTGCAAAGGAGATGAGAAGATCCCAACAAATATGCAGAAGGAAGTGGAGATGGACTGGATTAGGCATACACTGAGAAGATCGATTGTGGACACCACACGTCAGGAGAGGTCCTCGAGTGGAACCCAAAGGGGAAACGACGAGTTGGGCGTCCGTGGTGAGGGTGACGTGGAGGAGATCGTGTAAGGACGAAATGAAAGCTTCTGGGCAGACGTGGAGCCAGGTTGGAAAGACTGCAGAGAACAGAGTGCAATGGTAACGTGCTACTGGAGCCCTATGTTCTACTAGGAACCCAAGGGACAAATAGTAGTAACGTGCTTGTTAATTTGAGGTTATTAGCCTCTCCTCTGTTCTGCTGATAAACATTGTTTGATAAAGTTGTGTGGATAGTCATTGGCTTTGGACACTTTGTACAAATATTCTTCTTCCTCTTTCCGTAGAGGCTGATTGGTGCAAGGTGTTTTGCCTGTTGAGAATAGTGTTTGCACATAACATTTCTTTTCGACTGTAGAATGATTGGTGTTGTATTTCGAGATTCGGTCTTTATCTGTTCATCCTGTAGACTTGAGTTTGTGATGTTTCATTGTGGGTTCTAGTGATGAGGGCATCTATGAAGGGAAATTTGTTATTGTGAAGTGAATTCGTTTGTATGTTTTCTTGGTTTGTTTAAGCGTGTTTTTCATTTCATCCTACTTGAGAATACTCTCTCATTACTTATTACGCGGTAATCTGTTTGGTGGTTATCAGTTGAATGCTATTTGGCACTGGTTCGCTGGAAATACCTCCACTTGGATGAGAGATGTTGTTGCCAGTACTCATCACTTCAAACGCTAAAACGCTATGGACTAGGCCACTATGCACGTCAGCCACGACCCTTGCAACGGGTGTTAGATGTTGTTTGATACTTTTACTTTCTCGTTGCTATATCAGTTGAAAGAGTGCGGCTGCGAAATCTGTTAGTAAGGAGACATCACCTCTAAATAAAACTAGCCTACCCCACATGCACGTGTGAGTGACTGACTGACAAAATCAAAGAAGAACATCGCCCACAAATGCATTGATTCAAGCTGCCAAGCTTTACAGTAGTCTACAAAGAACAGGTGGATAGAGAAAGAGTGATATCAAAGGAGACAAAGTTCTGTGGAAGAATAAACAATCTGAGGAAAAAGATTGATGCGAATATTCAAGCTTCAGGTGCCAAGGAGTAGAATACATTTCCACCATTGTGACCAATTTTCAGCCGTGTCGTCAAGAGTCTTCAAACACTGACTTCTTTCGTCTTGGAGACCTCAGCCAGATAGTCTACATCTCCCCACAAGCCTCATACCAGCGATCATAGTCTGAATTGACTGTTGTCACGTCTTGATTTGGTCATCCTGAATCCTCTTCTAACCTAATCCTGCTTGCAGTAGCATAGCGCATCGAGATAGAGAGTGGATGGGTATGCGCAACACGTCCAAGCCGCTTCAGCCGATGAAGATTCATAAGGTCATCAATCGACTTCCCTGTCTAACGTAGTGCTCTTCACCTGATTTCAACACTGTTCACACGACGATTTCACCAAACGCTAGCAATGCTAGGAAGATAGGTGTGACAGGAAATCTGTAACCTCTTCATATCTTCTACTTTCAATGGCTATGTCTCACAGCTGTATAATAAGACAGAATAGACTGCAGCGCAGTATACTCATCCTATGATAAGTAGTTAGCTATCTCTCCAGTTGGCACCACAGATAACGTCGATTCCCAAATGCCGAACAGGATTTCTGTTTCCGAAGCTGAGATTCAATTAGCAACTAGCCTATTCGAACTGATGCAACTCCCGAATTAGGTAAAGCGGTCGACCTGTGGACAAGATCAACAGTATAACTCTACGAGAACAATTATTCTATCCGAATACATAATGACAGTATAAAGAAATTTACACTTATTAAATAAACAAAGTGATTCATACTTCAATGATCAAATTGATGAACAACAAATAACTAACCATTTTGTAGTGGAGATAATTGTACTATTGGTACCCGACTGAAATCCACTTCACGTAACAATTGTGTAGCATTACGTAGTAATCGGAAGCTTGGTTGTAAACTGGCGGCTCTTTTCAACCAAAATGTTTTTAATTCATTTTTTGTAGAAGATAATTCATCCATTGTAGAAGAATAGATACAAGAAGTTAACAGTGATTTTTTTGATTGTTTTTTCAATCTCATTCTAGTGGAACATTTTTTTATTCTGTTAAACTTGGCATAATAATGTGAAGGCACTAAAGCATCTTCTTTTTCAACAACTGGGCATAAATTTACTTGAACTTTTGGTTTAATTGGCTTATAACACTTAGCTTCTTTATCAACTCCTTTTACTGTAACACCTAATTCAGTATCATTTATAATTATTGACTGAGATGATTCATCCAGATGATTATTAGACAATAGGTTGAATTGTTTGTCATTCTCAGCATCTTCAAGATTATTTCTTGTAGAAACAAAAGTTTCAGAGATTTCCTCAAGAACATCTTTTACTGTACACCGTGATCGAATTGATTTAATATGTTCTTTATCATTCCCATTGAAGATAATACTCACCTTGGAACTTTTAGATTGACTATAATTACTTGATGTTGTTAAACTTGCAGAACTGTCATCATTTTTATAATCATCATTATGGACAACCATTTCTATGATATCTGAAGAATTAGAGGAGTCAAGATTCGCCTTATATAGATCAGTCGATATTGAATTAGGTTGACTGGTATCATTACAGTTTGAATCCGAATCAATTATCATGCTATTCACCCCATCTAAACCATCTAAAGTACAAGATGGTAGTGAATTCTTTCGTGTTCTAGGGTGTTCAGGTGAATCACATACCAAAATCTCATGTACTTCATCCATCTGTACAGAGGGATCCTTCTGACTGATGGGTTTACTCGACATTTCATAAGCAGTATTAACTGAACATCCTGACGGTATTGAAGTTTCCTTCTCTTTATGTCTTTTCTTCTTTTTGTCTTTTTTCTTTCTCTTCTTCTGGATATCATTATTGACAGAATTTGAGACAATTGAAACACTAGTTTGAGTAGGGTGGATAACTGATTTTGTTAAACGGGAATCAGAAAATTTTATTGATAACGGTTCCACTGTCATATATACATTTCGACTAGATGAATTACTGCTGCTCATTCCACTACTTCGACTCATTTTATCATCATCATCAGCATAGTTTACTGTTGATTCAGATACACATGAAGCAGTACTGCCTGTATTATATTTGTTATCCGATTCAGATTCATCTCTAAGATTATCAGTAGACATGTTGGCTGTTGTGGTGATAAGAGTTGTACTAGTCTTTGTATCCATAGTAGTAACACACGAAGCAATTGCTTGCTGAACAATAGAAGAAGAAACAGTTTTGTTTTCACCTATAGATTTATTTGCATCACTGGGAGCAGTTGTTGTCTCATTCAATATTTCACTTAAATCCTCAACTGTAGACTCATAACCTTCTTTATCCTTTTCAACAGTTTCAATGTAGTCCAATTCAGCTTGGTATTCATCTCCACAATCAAATCCTTCCTAGTATATAGAGATATATTTGAAAACAGATGATAATAATGGTAAATGTTATGGGTAAAACAATACTTACAAAGGAATGTAATCGTTAAATTAAATTTTGGAGCTTTGAGTTGCAATTTTGAATAAAGTTTCCATGTTCCGAGATTGATATATATAAATATATAATATATATATATATATATATATATATATATATATATATATATATATATATATATATATATATATATATATATATAGCATCACTAGCATTCAAATATATTTAACACATAGCCCGGTTAATAAATCCAAATCTGATTGCTGGAGGACATCCAGTTAATATCAGGATAGGACCTGGTGTTAGTGTCCCAGTTGAATCATTTCACATTCGAAATTGGAAAAATCGAAATATACTCAGTTACCTTGTGCGCAGTAGACAATGAGCCAAACCTATTGTGTGAAAGCTGATGATATTATCTGGCTGCCCAAACCTCGGTAAGTGGAACGGGGTTTAAATCAGTAACTCAATGGTTGAAAGTTATCTCCCTAAACCAATGACTCACAACTTCACCCACCTCACACTAACAAGTCCAGATATAACGTAACACGATGAAAGATAACGAAATGCAAATAAAAGACAAAAATCATGAAGCAAAGAAATAAGGATAACGTATAAATGTATCTGCAGCAGTGAAGTCGAATCTAATTCATATCACCACCTAGAGTTTCGAACTATCGGTTTCGGTTGCCGTGGGAACCCTGAACTGGAAGTGTGTACGTACCTGAACGGCTCAGAAAACAGTAGTCAAAGACTTCATTGAATGGTACGATGTTTTAGTTTGGTTAGTGTACCTCTACTTCGGTTAACATAGTGATAAATCAAGCGTAGCATATGTGTAAAACACTTGAGCCAATAAAAGCTTATAATCTAATCAACTGACGCTTTACCTTAACACTAAACAGAACCTCTATGTCCGCTGCATAGTTGTTCCACGGTTCATGAAGGATGTTATGATGGCAACAGGAGTCGAACACCCAACAGCTTCTTATTTGTTGTATATTAGGAGTCAATCTGCAAGAAGCCCTGTCCCTGGATTTGATGCTCTTTGGCATTTATCAGCAAAGTATGTATGTTACCATGAAGAAAACTGTTAGTCTGTTGGTGATTCGAACCTGCGCCACTCCATGCCGGAGTCAGTCAAGGTTTGCTGCTGACTGGACTCCTAATATCTGGTACCAAAAACGCAGTTTACTACAGTGTCGCGTCACTTTGCCTGGTGACCAAATTGCAGACTTGATCGGTAGACTTCGATCAGTGTTCAGAACTAAGGTATAAACAACTAAATTGATTAGTTACTAGTGGTCGATTCATGTATTCTCTTGTGTTTTTCTACTTCAATGGCAGTGTTTCACAGCTATATAATAGGAAAGAGAATACTGTTAAGCAGTATATTTATTTTCCAACTAATAATTACGCTACAAGCCAATTTAGCATGAAATTAATGGTAGCAAAAATAGTCCATAATATATTTATTCAAATAATCCTAGTTAGGCATTATACGAAGTTCATTTTTTGTCGATAATATAGACGAAATGTATTTTCAGAATCGCAGAAATAGCAAAAACGAAGTTCAGACAGTGATATTTCATCTATGACTGAACTCCTGTAGGACTGGAGTACGTAAACAAATTGGCTAGTGGACAGTAAATAACATTATATCCCTAAGTTTTCAAACCCGATATGGTTACACCCGTCAAGTTTTGAATATGACATCAAACTACATAACTTTTAACTGTTGTAAATTATTTATCAATGGGTATTTGAAAGCAATCTGTATAACGTCTTGTTTTTAAATTGTTTAGATCAAGAGAAAATAACTTTTTGGAATGACTATCACTAGCTTTCTTCTAACCTAATCCTACTTCAGATAATATCTTGTTTCTAGTTAGAACTTCGGGATATTTATCTCGAAATGTGTCACTGATAAGCACTATTCAGTAGTGTAGTATGTGGTTTATAGGGATTTTATTTTTAAGGTTGCACTCATCACGGACTGACATCAGTTGGATAACCAATAAAGGCTTGGGAGCATCAGACAGCTGTTTCGTCTTGTTGTGTGGCTCCTCAGTAGCACACGCCCACAATTTTCCTACCATAAGTTTTTAACTATGAGGAGCCATATATCAAACAAAGTGTAGTAGGGCAATTCCAACAGTTTCTACAGACCGAAGTAACGTGTATAGAAATCGAATGCTCCTCACGAAGATCAATTCAAATTAATCAGAAGTCACTTTTATTTTTTTTATCCAGATGAGAAGTCAGATAACACTGTCACCCAAACCAACTAGAGTTAGGATTTTGTTTTGATCCCATGAAATCATTAAATCAAGTATGGTAACATAGAACAATGAATGTGAATAGGTACAATGATAAAAACGGTCATTAAAGTTAATTTAACAAAACAATAAACTAACTTGAACAGCCATTGTTTCATCATAAATAGCCCCAGCGTATGTACAGATAAATGTTCCCTTGGGGATAGCATTCAAAGCACGAATACCCCAACCCCTAGACAAAAAATTTCGAGAAATGAATATTCATATTCATTTAGTACTTTTCAAAATAAACAAACAGTATCACACTTTCATGTGGAATGAGTGCACCACCTTATGTCAAACAACATCATGAATAACAGAGATGAGCACTTCGACCCAGTATAGTAACGGAAGATTACACGTATCAATCAACAACAACAACTGATACCTATTGCACGAGAGTTGTTAGTGCCTCAGTAGCCTAGTGGATAACGCTTTAAAGTTTGAAGTGATGAGTTCTGAGTTCGAATCTCAGTGGGAATAACAAAACTGACTGGGGTGGAGATACATCCAGCTGACGAATCCCAAACAGGACGAAACGTGCGTCCTGGACTCCACTCCCAACCACCAAACTAACATCACCATCATCAATACATTATAAAAAATTAATTTAATATGCACGAAATGTGAGGATATGTTGCCTTAGAGGAATTAGACACAACCAAACTTTTCATCATCTCATTTCTGCTCAGGAGAAACCTATCTTAAAGGCAATAAACAGAAGGACGTGTACAGCTACACCACATACTTGATCCTGAAATACCAAACAGACATAATGGTTAAAATGTTGTAGCAAAACTTTAGGTGATTTTCCGAGTTAATATTCATTGACTTACAATGGGTTATCTTGCCAAAAACGTCAAGTTTGCAATTGTCAGTGCAACTGTCTAAAACATTTATCTGAAACTCAATATCGGCGGAAAGCAAATAGTCACATGTGTTGCTTGTCTTCTTCTAATAACGGAACGAGCAAGCGTCTGAATCCCACCTACCTTTCCATTGCTTCATGTCTTCCTAGTAATCTTAAGGCATAACAAATAAGACTGAAGAATCCTTGAGTCAGTCTCTGAGATTAACATCTCGGTTATTCAATTGATACTTAAAAATGCTACACGCTAAGACGCCTACTGAACATTTCTACTTCATAAGTTAATTTAATTGGCCCTTAAGAAATGAGCTTCAAGTCTGATGGAACTCATCGACCTTTGTCTGACAACATAATTCCAATTCAATAGCGAGATATTCAAACAGATTAAAGGAACTCAAATATGATCAACAATGTCCGTACTAATTGCAAAAGCAGTAATGCAGAGACTGGAAGCCATCATCATACCTGTGATCAAACCAAAAATTTGGATTACCTATGTAGACGACACTTTTGTCATCATTAAAAAAGATGATTTAGAAAACACTCACAGTTTGATCAACAATGTTTTCAATGACATCAAATTCAAAATGGAGGTGTTAAACAGCCAACTACCGTTCCTGGATGTTTTAGTCAGTAGGACAAATGTCAGAAACCTGGAAACTCAAGTGCACACAAAGCCAACACACACTGACCAAATCCTCAACTACGGTAGCAACAATCCAACAACTCACAAAATTACTTGCGTTTAGACTCCCATCCAAAAGAGCGAGAAAACACTGCAGTACAACAACTTCACGGAGAAACAAAGAAAATTACTTGATGTCCACCCTAAAGAAGAACTGCTACCCACGAAACTTTATCATCAGAAGATGCCTATCCCGTACATCACCAACTACAAAGTCATCGACAGAAATCAACAAACACATCATCCTACCATACAAAAAGAATATATCAGAAATCATGACAAGATTCCTGAGACCATTTGGGATTGGTGCGGCTCATAAACCAACAAATTCCCTCCAAACACTATTATGCAGACCAAAAGATGCAACAATCAAAGAAGACAAACCGAATATCATTTACAAAATCAACTGCAATAACTGTAGTCAACACTACATTGGACAAAATGGTCGCCCTCTTCGCCTTAGCCTTAGCTTATATGAACATCAATTGGCTACGTCAAGACATTTCAATGCACATGGATAACTACGGACATTAATTCAATTTTGACAGTGCAGAAATCTTGGACAGAAAAAACAAAGAATATAAGAGAAATCCTCGAAGCTTGGCATTCAGGTTAGTCAGTAATCAATGGACGAAACCCATCAACCAATAAGAAAAGTGGTAAACAATAATAAGGTCAGAGGTCAGGCAAAAAACAGCCAACAGGGAAATCTATGTAGTCAATGACAAAACAATCAAAGGAAACAACCAGATACAAACCAGTTCGTCAGGGAAAGCTAATCAATCATTCAAGGAGAGGTAATGACAGCTCACTTTACACTGAAGTTAGTGCTGATGATGTCGTCCAGAAAAACGATGAAAGCTCCACGATTAAGCAAGCCACCTCAGAGAACATAATACAACCAAGACCATTCACCTGAGCTACAAATATTCTTCACCATTTCAAGCTTCAAAAAAGTATTAAATCCTTTGAAAATGATCTCAGCTTTTTTTCTTTCAGATAAACGGTTACTGTTAATTAACACATTAATTGCCTTTATCCACCAACACGAATGGCTAATTCATGAGAAATTACAAGAATAGACATTTACAGTAAAGGATATTTATTTTCAACGTCTGTGTTGAACTAAAATAGTAGGACCGTTACGATTTTGCTAAGTGCAGACTTATTTATTCATTAATTAACCATAATTGTTGATTTTGTACCGAAAATATGTGCTAAAATATCCTTCAGTGATCTTTTTTCAGTGACTTGAAACGTCATTTTAACAACTGCTGAGATAACCAATCACATTTCTCTATTCTATAAAAAACTGACTTCCCAGTCAAAATTGCGAAATCTGATTGATTATTTCAGAAGCTGCTAGGGTGACCTTCAAAGACATTCATATGTTAACCGTTTTTTCCCTCGACTGATGATTATCTTTGCAGATACATTATTTATCAATCTAATTTCTATGATTGATAAAAAGATGTGAAGATGCGAGTTGTAACCTGGTTTTGAACTACTGTGATTGAGTTAGTAAGTTCTCACCTGTTTATTACCTGCTAATCAGTGTTCTTGTATTATCAATAGACTTGTATCACCTTTCTATCGCTCACAACTTGATAGTGTTTTCAGTGAACAAAATTAGTTTACAGACGAACTTTATAAAGTCATCTCTACGCGCTATTTGAATGGAAAAAAATCAGCAGGAAGCCATGGACCTAGATTCCTTACTTTTTAGCACTCATCAGGAAGGTGTATCTGCAACTTGGAGGTAACATATTTTCCACCTGAGATTAGAATCCACGCCACCTAGTGCTGGGGTCAGAGATGATACCACTGGGCCATTTGGGCAGCGATCGACCTCCTGCAGGACTGGAGTGGGTACATTGATTGGCCCTTGGAGGTTAGCCAACTTCATATTGTCTACTTCTAAGTGCTGATCAAATTCTATGAACCAATTTGCAGTGTGGCCATCAAGCTAGTTATTTACGTGTTTAGGAAACCCATCAACAATGCTGATTACAATTCTCAGATGAGTGATGATAAATAGCATAAAACAGGGAAGCTTTCGAGTTAAAAATAAAGTTTTTAAAAAAGTAAAATAATAATACAACCAGTACATTACTTGCGACTAGTTTTGAATACTTGAAGTCTAACCCATAATCCTTGTTGAACCACTCGATTACTACATCGACGATCACAATGACAACCAGAATTACACTCATATATTCCACCGACTGTAAATTGTGACAACCGACGATATCGATAACCAGCTTGACTATCAATCATTCCATTTGGATTTGTTAAAGAACTAGCCTCAACTATAAACAAAGAATATAAAAATAATGCTAGAAAGATATGAACATGAAAGTGATAAAGTTACCTAACAGAATAAACAATTTGAAGATAATGGTTAATGGAACATATCTGAACCATTGTGACGGATTTTGTTCCATGTCATCAAGAATTCTCAGTCACTGATTTGTATCACCTTGCAAGCCCCAGCTAAGCAGTCTACATTTCCCCAGACGGCTCAGACTAGCAGTCAGAGATTTCATGAACTACTGACATCAACATCACCCTTAAATCTGAGTATGATACCTCCACGATCAAAGCTCAGAGAACACAAAACAATTATCAGTACTTTCCGTAAAATAATTGATTTATAAATATTCAGGCATAGAAGTTCAAAATACTCAACAGTTTCTATGTAACTTAGAAGGGTGAAATAACTGAGTGGAGTGAAAACAACAATTTTAGCAGAACAGTCTGTATTCGTTTTATTTCGGCATTTTTCGTCAGCTGCTCATCATCTAAACACTTTTAATATCAAACTATATAAAATATTGCCACAACAGATTAATTCCAATCGACCAAAGACCTGGAAAAAATAAGCACTTAGAAGTTTTGCTGTTTTGCTCAACAGTTTAAGAAAATATAAGGGAAAACGCTGAATCTAAATGACCAGCCTTCAGCGTTTATTTTATAAATGGGTACAGCTGACCAATCCATATAATCTAAGAAATATACTCCCAACTTTCTGAAGTCGACAGTTATCAGTATCAGATAGAATAAAAGCCAGTATTATATTTATTTATTTGTCCCTTGGGTTCTTAGTGGAATACAGGGCTCCAGTAACATGTCGCTCACCATTTCACTCTCTTCTCTGCAGTCTTCCTAACCTGCATCCACCTATGCCCACAAGCTTTTATTCCTTCCTCACACCGTCTCCTCCATGTCACCCACGGACGCCCAACTCAGCGTTTACAATTGGCGATCCACTCGAGAACCTCGCCTGACGCGTGATGTCCCCAATCCGTCTCCTCCATGTATGCCCAATCCATCTCAACCTTCTTCTTCCCCATATTTGTTGCCCCATGCCTTGTTGGTTGGTTCGTTGCCAGCCAACCACCCAGAGGTCCTCGTTACTTATTCTTATTATTCTGGTCATGTGATCTTCAGTATCCAGCGTAGGCGGCAGATGTTCATGAATGTTTCGAGTTTCGTGGAAATCTTTTCTGTAACGCACCAACTCTCTCAACCATCACATACAAGCACTGACTTGACTGACATCAGCCTTGAAAATCCAGATCTTCTTCACACTTTATACTCACTGGAGTGCAGCACATCTCCACACTGATTTACGGTTAATCAAGGCCTGTCTTACTGTCTTTCCGATCCCGACTTTGACATCCTCATCTGTGCAGCCACCACCTGTAGTTCAAACGATACTACACGCCTACGTAGGTCAAAGAGACTACTTCCTTTAGATTACTCCCGTTCGTCGTGATTCGTGTCTCTTGTTTCTGTTGTTGCTCCTGTATCTTCATCACCTCTGTCTTCTCTACCTTCATCTGAAAGAAGTCCCGTCTTCGCTGCCTCGCATAGTCTCTTCTGCCAACTATTTAGTTTTCGCCTGTAGATTTTTGAGTTTCTGCGATATTGGACACAAATCATGGGCGAAATCCAAATCTTCTAGGCTCTTTTCATTGGTTAAATAATGTATACTTATCTTCTCACTCATCACAGTTTCTTGTATGATCCAGTCCAGTCAAGTCGACCACAATTAGGAAGATCGTCGGTGATAGTAGGCGGCAGTCTTGTCTTACTCCTGTCTTCACTTCAAAGGCATCACTGACTAGCTTTCCATTATGAATCCCTTGGCATGTAGCATCATATAGCATATAGCCGTTGAATGAGGTTGATAAAGGTTTGTGGCACTGAAACCGTAGTGTTGATGTAGCTGCCAAATTACTTCTCGGTCGACGCCTTCGAAGGCCTTTTCAAATTCGATGAAGTTGAGGTAGAGAGTTGACTGCCATTTTATACTCTGTTCTATGATGATGCGTAGAGTTGTAATTCGGTCCATACATGATTTATTTTTCCTGAAGCCAGTAAGCCTATTCCGGTCATAATTTTGAATCCAGAGCACCTTTTAATCTCTCCAGGTTGGTGGGACCTAATATTTTGCTTGGGGTGAACAGCAGCATGATTCCTCGCCAATTCTTGCAAAGACTTAGGTTCCCCTTGTTTGGGAGTTTGACAAGGTAGCCCTTCTTCCAATCAATGGGTAGGTACCTTTCCTTCCCCCCAAATCTTCTGCAATAATGGTGTGAGTATGTCCGCTGTTGTCATTATCAGATAGAATACAAGCCAGTACGCTACAGAAATCAAAGAGTTCAAAAAGTAATAACTTCATGAGTTGTTTCTTTTCTTTTGTTCGGTCACCTGAAATTTCTGCAAGCTTTTTCCACCATGCTTACTGAAAACAATGAGTGTATCTATAGCATAAATAACTAAAAACCTCCCTACAATCATTTCATTTCACTCCCTGTGGATAATAATTCAGTGCATTTGTTGAAAATGTTACATCTAAATAAAAGAATGTTTTATGGTTGAATTTTATAAATTTATTTTCGCGCTATTTTCCACCACATGTGCATTTCTCAATTTTACCGGTTTAAGAACGCTGTTTTCCTATTGGTTAATCTGCCACTTTTAATATGCTATTTCGTCCAGTCGCCTCAAGGATGTACGCATTGTATTTAAACGCAAGTGGTATTTTTCTGGGTTGTATGTTCAAACTTCGATTTGAGTAAACTCACTTCAGTCCAACATTGTCTGCTTCTTGTATCGGCTAGACCAGCTGTCGAGTATCGTATCGTTCATCCAGCAACTAAACTACACGTCCTCAGTTAATCGTATCCGAGAATTACAACAGCACTAAATTAACAGAGCACGATAATAAAACTTTGTTGACGATAAACAATATTTAGGTTCATAACTATGAGCTCCAGTTGTCATCTAGGTAGTTGTTGTTTACCGCTCATTGGTGAAGGGTGATAAAAAATGAAAGCGGACAACAGTTTACTGTACATCTATAAGATACGGTGATCATAAACAGAATGTACAGAAAGCTTGCCAGATCCATACATTCGAATACCGCAGTTATACTGAATAATCATAGACAAGATTAAAGTGGAAAATGAAGAATCATAATAAAATTTACTACATTTATTATAACTAACACTAGATTAGAACCATGCTTATAGTTAACACAGTAAAATTATTTATAATAACTATCAAAAATGTTCTCAATAAAAGCTCACCAGTCAGTTGTTGACATGCACATTTATTTCGATCTCGGCAATTGTCTGTACAGTCACAACAGACAAGAAATCTGGAATCTTTAAGCAAAGGTACACTACCAATGGGTTGTCTATTTGGAATATAATCAATATATCCAGGAACTTCATTGTCCACACTATTTACACAGTGAACTGGGACATTTTCTTTACCATATGACAGATCAGCAATATTGGTAAGTGTCTGAAGACAAAAATAGTTAATCATCACTACAAATAACATAAAAACACTGGGGGGGGGGGAGAGAAGACATATAAAGCAGTATTATTAATTAATAGTGAGTATTAGTTGGTTGAACACAATAGGCAAGAAACTATGGACCTAGGTTTCCTGATTGTGGGCGTTCGTCAGCTAGGTGTATCTCCAACCTCAAGGGAAGTGATGTCAAACTCGTGTTACTGATTTTCCTAGTCAACGACGTTAGAACTGGGCTATTCGAGCCGTGATCCACCTCCTATAGGACTCAGTAAGATAAACTGATTCGTCGCGAGACAACAACCAATTTCAAGTTGTATAGTCCTAAGTTCTGACGGGATTCTATTGATCACTTTGCAATATGGTCATCAAGCTAGGAAGCTCACCATCGCGGTGCATAACATGAAATTGGTTTCTTTCCAGTAGTCAGTGAGTGTAAACCAAACTAAACTCCATCTCTGTCTACCTCTTAACAGGCATGTATGCCTTCATGTACCAGCCAATGAGTAACAACTACTATATGAGAGCTAATGATGCAACCGGATTATTCAGTCCTTGGCAGATAGATCAGAGTTTGAGTTGGAAGTTGACTGTCCGAAACAATGAGCTACAGTTCCACACTATTAATGATTTTTCATAGATGAAAAAGGCCAAAGAGTTATGTATTCAAATTTCCTAAACCAGTTTGATCATATCAGGCACTAGATGGATGAAGACATAAAGCCAATACTGTATAACACTATCATAAGGCTTCATACAATATGCTGAAATTAATAACTATGCACATTTGTGAAATGTAGCCCAACTTAACACTAATAATGAGTTAAGTTGTTTACGACTCATAAATTAGGTCTTAAATAGTCAAATCTACAGCTTGATAGCTATTTCTCAAGCCTTCCTGCAGGCGGCTATCATAATAAACTAATCGACTAGACAGGCATAAAGAAAATCTTGATATGCTGTTCCATTTTATATGTTGTCTTCTAAAATCAGCAAGATATTTTTGTTTTTCCAAAAATTTTCCCTTTCAACTACTTTAAAAAAGCAAATCTGTAGTTGAAGTCTTTCCCGTTGAACAATATATGAGTTTTTGAAGTTCATGAGTAGTAGCCAAAATTGAATAATGACAAGTAAAATGCAAATTTTTAAATAAAAAAGTAGAATTAAAGTCTGAAACTATATTCCATAGTTATCTATAAAACTTGAAATGATCTACACGAACTTTCACTATGATGAGTGGTTTCATAAATTCAATCTATTCAGTAGGTGCATTCTTTATGAAAGGTTAGTAGCTAATGGAATCTCAGCAAGCAGGCATAGACTGAGAGAAAACTAATGGGTATGCAATATATTTTCAATAAGTTAGAGTTTCATAACGTTTCGTATATCTCAAGTTGGTATTCATCATGGATCGATATCAGTTCAAAGAATATTCGAAACCTGGTAAAACTGGACAGATGTTTCATCCTAATATGGGACTCCTCAGCAGTACGCACCCATCGCTCCGCACCACCACGGATCGAACCCACGACCTTCAGGCTCCATGGCCAACACGTTACCACTCGGTCGGAATCCAATGGTCCATAATCCAACTTCTGGAGCTCATTGGTGACCAGCTACAAGAGATGATTCTTGAAGTTCTAATGAGAAGTCGTGACCAGTGGGGCAAACCTGGTGGACGTGAGAACAAATACTCAATAGTGAAATCGGGTGATGGTCGCACTATGTCGTGAGCTGACACAAGTTGGAAATATGAAATATTGGGTTCTGATCCAGTGGCTCAGTGATTACGTGCTGGCCGCAGAACCTTAGGGTCCTGGGTTCGATCCCTAGCGGGGTGATAGGTGCGCACTGCTGGGAGGTCCCATACTAGGACGAAATAGCTATCCAGTTCTCCCAGATTTCTAATGTTCCTCCAAATTATGTCAGTCCACGATGAATACCAACCTGAAATTAATAAATCCCCACAAATCCACAAAAAGTGAGTTTAATATATCTTCAGAAGACGTTTAACTGAAGAAGTAATGTAGGTAGAAAGAGAACATAACTAGATGGCAAATACACTTCAGTTAGTCGACTGAACTCTTAAGAGAAGTATAGTCTGAATCCTATTATTTCGAATTGAATTTATTATTGATCTTGTGCAACGGGTTTACATGGTAGGTGAAATAACTGTTCGACTGGGGATGTTAGTTGGTTGCAGGAAATCAGAAGTGTTTGTTGGCAGTCGTCAGCAAAGCATAGCTACAACCTTGAGGGAACTGATATCCCCTAGTAATTCGAACCTACATAGCCCACGACTGGACAAAATGAAGTTGATTACCCTCCAATAAACAACCAGTGTCCCTAATTCAGGTCAATCATGACCTGAGTAGTTCAGTGGTAACATAGTTGACTACAACACTGAGTGACACAGGTTCAAATCTCAGAGGGGACACCAGTTGCCTCGAGGTTGCAGATATGCCTTACTGACGAATCCAAAGAAGCACGAAACCCTAGTTCAGAGCTTCCTGCCAACTGCTTCCAACTAACTAACATCCATCAAAGTTCATTGCTATGATGGACCTTTCAACTTGGTGGCCACATTGCAAAAGTGATCGACAGAATTCAGTCAGAACTCAGGACTGGGAAATATGGAATTGATTGATCTTCGATGACTAATCAATGTAACTATTCGACTGTATCCTCGTCAGTCTTAGATTAAAGTTGAACAAATGATATCAATTCATACCTCGTTGCCATCTGATTAGTAGAAGATCGAAGACACGTACATCTATTACATTTCTCTACATATTCGTCAGTTAGTAATGGTGTAGTGGGCGTTGCTGATAAGAATAGATATAAGTAGCATATGTTGAGAGGGTGGCAGAAATCATACGGAATTATCAGCAGTGGGTAAGGATTCTGCACAGAGAAACGCAAGAGACAACGCGGGCGTATTAAGAGCAAATCAAGATATAAGGGGAAGAGAAAATGAAGCACATAATGCAAATGCCTATCCCAGTGCAAGGTGTGCTATATTTAACGACTACTGAACCACATGTTAATAATAAACATTCCTTCCTTCGTTTCTGTTTTCTCGTTTCCTTCAATAGTAGCTCACATATTATTAATTGGGGCTCACAATCTAGTCCTCATAATTCTGTTTTTGAATAGCATGTGGTAATATTAATTGGTATTTGTAATCACCAATGGAATTGATTACGACAGAATAGGTCATACACATACGTTACCAACTCATGTACCTTTTCTGCACGAAACTCTTGATTGATTACCAGTGTAGGATCAAATGAGAACAGGTCAGCTGTCAATTGACTTTTAGTCTTATCCAAAAATCGTTCCACTTCATGCATTGTTCTTAAAAAACGGCCACATGGTGCACTGTAAGTAATATTACACTTGTTGTTCATTGATGGGTCATATTTTGATAAATATCTATAGTATTACAATTGAAAAAACAAACATATGAAAACAAATATGATTACAATGAAAGTATGATGGATAGATGACAAAAGCTTATCAAGATACTGTACATACTACTGTTGTAAATAGTAATCCTGTCTAAAACCTACAGTTTGCTTATTTATCTGTGAATCAAATAAAACTGGAGCTGCGTTTCTTTCCGATAGTCTGATAGCGTAAATAACTCTCGTATAATAGGCGTGGCTCGTTCGTTGCCAACCGGATGAAAGTTCATACGGTTGCTGACTCCTAATGAATCTAGTACATGTTTGAAGGCGACAGGAACAACAGAAAATCGATAAGTTCAGAAAATATAAAACGTAGTTTATAGAGAGAATAAAACGATGACCTTAAATCCATTGGTAAGAACTAATTGGCTGCCTGGCTTCGGTTATTGAGTCTGGATATTATTCAATAGTGTTGACACAGTCGGTGGGCTAGCAGTTAGATCTTTTCCTGGATCATCAGATGTTCAAAAGTAGATTAAACTGATTAAACGGTTTTATAGTCGTCAGTCAAAGGACCTAGTCTACTGAGCAATTAACTTAAACATTATCATGACAGCATGCATGCTCTCTCAAGTTACTTATACAACAGTAACACAGCAGTCAGACATACAAACAGGTAGATGTCGACAAAATACGTCTATGACATACTAAACTAAACGTTCTGAATGCTGATATATCAACAATTCGTTTGTATCACTCAGCAAATAAGAACAAACTTGAATATTAAGGCAAGCGACCTAAGACACCATCAGATTTACAACTTTGCATACACAAGTATCCAAGTATTATATCGAGTAAAAAAGGTGAGAGGATATATAAGACTTTAGTCTCAGTTAATTACTACATATATAGAGGTTAACGGGAATTTTATTTCCAAGGTAGCACTCATCACGGACTGACATCATTTGGAGAACTACCGAAAACCTAACAGCACTGAACAGCCGTTTCGTCTTAGTATGGGACTCCTTAGTAGTATGCACTCATGACCTAGCCATGCAGTGATCGAAATCACGACATTCAGGTCTAGCTCACGGTGAACACGTTAACCAATTAGCCCCTGGATCGGAGTCAAATAATCCACACCCTCCTACTTCTATCAATTCAAGATATAGCACGACTATCACAAAAGATCTTCACTTGGTATTCGCTTCCCATCCGACCGCATGGGTCACGGTTTTTCACTAGGACTTCGGGATATCCATCTGCAAGCATGTCACCAGTGAGCAATATACAACAATGTACTTTGAGGCTTTATATATATATATATATATATATATATATATATATATATATATATATATCATATTTTAATACAACCCCAGTATTTTTTGAAAATCAAAACAAGGTTTTTTCTGAACGTTTCGCTGCGTAAGTCACAGGACATTCGTAACAACTATGATTTGAATGCTTGTAATTTCAGTTCATTACTATATAGACTACTCCAGTTACATAGTTCACATGATGAAAGTGGGAACAACAATCGAAAAACAGACACACAAATCAACTAAAAATCAGGTAAAGAAGTGCGTCGGTTCAAGCCAGCATACTTCGTAGGAGCACACTGAGAAGTGTAGGAAAAAAGTGGAGTTATGGGATGAGAGGAGAGGGAATAAACAGATAAAGGTTAACAAAATGTTCGAGAATAAAAAGATTGGAAAGACTGAGGCTGTGGCTCATTGGTTTATATAGTTGATTTCCAACTAGTGGGTCGTGAATACTAGCACCATTCCACTCGGGGAGATGTGGGCAGCCGGCCAGTCTTAGACAACACTATCACCAATACCACAAGCTATCTCAGTTTCTGTCTCGATATTTGCTACCCTCCTGAAACAATCTACACGAGATTCCACAGAATTTCCTCGCCTCATCTCAAGAGGTTCCGGAGAGGAAAAGAAAACCTGTATAAGAAGAGAGATCACCCTGCCGTTACAGGCTGGACTGCCTAATTAAGTCTGAAATACATCTAAATACTATAGACAACCAGAAGTTTCTATCGTGTAACAACTCTCCCAATATATGGAAATTATTTAAAGACCTTACCGGTAGAAAACATATGATAAAAGAAACTTGTTCGCATGTCCGCTCGTTAAACAAGTAATTCATACGTCTGCAAGCTGATTTCATTTTACTGATAACCATAGTCAAATGAATATCTGCTTTCCTGGCTTTAATACAGACGACGTATTCAAATGTCTTAGATTCTTGAATTCATCAGAAACTCAGATCATGATACTGTTTCTAGTATTACATTTAGAAAATGTGTACATATTTTACGTCATCCCCTTACAGATATCTTCAATCCATCGTTTTATAAAAACACAACACCCGTTGCTTGAAAAGAGATCGTAGCTACACGTGTGCTTAAAACATCTTCTGGATCAAATGCTATAACTGCCTCTTTTCTGCAGACGACGGAGAAATTACTTCTTCGGGTGGTTGCTTCAGCCTTCACTGAAGGTTCTCAGAGATCCAAAACAACTTGCTTACAAACACAGGAGAAGCATTTTAGATCGTGTCACTGTCTTCCACCATTACATTTTTTCTAGTCCAGACAAAGGTATTAAGTATGCTCATTGTACCTTCTTGGATTACGCATCAGCCCTTGACCCCGTTAATAGACTACTCCTGTCAAATAAGCCTGCCATACCTCATACTGGGCCATCGGCTAAAAAGTGGCTGTATTCTTACTCTTCTGAAAAAAAACAGCATACTGTGTATAAAGGGAGATGCTACACTTCATTGCTTACTGAACCTGGTGTGCCTGAACCTGCAGTACTTTCTCCGTTTCTATTTCCATTCTTTTTGTATGATTTACCTCATTCTCATGAAATCAGTTTTACTAAGTATGATGATGACTTGGTGGCTCATATTCCAGTTAACGCTCGCTTGCATTGCTCTGAATTAAGTGGATTCTTGTCTCTAATTGACCAGTGGTCTCTCTCAAATGGTCTCAAGATAAACCCTTCTAAATGTCAGACCGTTAATTTTAGCCTCAAGCGTAAACAAGACTTGTATGAGCTGCTTAAGTCCCATGACTCTTGGTGCATTGATGGTATTTCTGCGGAAAGTAAATAGAGGGTTAACTACCTCGAATTGAGTTTTACTTCTCATCCTTGTTGGTCGCCTTATATCTTGTTGACTTGTAAAAAAATCTCTCGTTCAACATATCAAATAAAGAAACCGAAGCTCTCCGCCATAACTCAACCTCTACTCTTACAATTTGTTGATTCCTGCATTTCACCTATTCTTTTCTATTGTTACTCCTTGATCTTTCCTGGTATACTATAAAAGGACTACGTTATATTGCGTAGGGCTTGACAACGATTTACAGACTAGACACAAACTACATACATATAATTCACAGGGGGTCTGAAACCGCGTAGTTTTTTCAAACTTCCAGAAGTACTTATTTTCAAAAACAGTACCATTAAGATTATTTCTTAATTCCAATGATCCAAATAGAGAGATACGAAGATAATCCTGAATCTTAATGCGAACATGTCACACTTATTGCGTTATGCTGAAACTTAGAAATAACAATAAATGAGAGACAAAATGGAAAGTTAACAGAATTCCAAGAGTGAAAAAGTAAAAAATAGTAAGAGGGAAACCAACTTACAAGTGCTTCTTATAAATGCATGAGCAGTAAATTACCACAGAAAGGTTATTTTAATACGTTTCTATTCAAAACCAGTGAATAATTATAGGTGGGGCTATCATTTGTCGGCCTCCGAACTGAACTTCTAGCCGTTAAGGTAACGGATTCGAGCCCCACTCCGCCTGCTGAGATGCAGGCAGTCAGGTAGTATCACTAGCCATCAAACAATAGGCGTGGCTTATTACCTACTGCACAAATGTGCACAAGATTGATGAGTTCATTTCAAGTTTAACACCGGTTTCTAGTATCTCGAGGATCCCTGCCACGTAGTCTACAATTACAACGAGGTCAAAAATGTTCATGATTCAATATAGACATAACATATAAACGTCATGAATCAAAAACTGGTAACAAGTAATGTTACACTGATGACTTTCTGACAAGTTGTAACTCTTCAGGAGCAAATATGTACCATAGTCTATCGTTTAAGATCGGTTATTGTGTTTATTACAGTTGAACCGATAAAAGTGACTCTGAGAAAAGTGTTTTAATGGTCTTAGGAGGTTCAAATACCAAAACAAGACTTACAAAATGAACTGGAAACAATCTAGCCTAAAACAAATCACAATCGAAATGCAGTCATTCCCTGGCGGGGTCGTGGGGTGCGCACTACTGAAGAGTCCCATAATAGGACGAAACAGCTGTCCAGTGCTCCCAGGTTTCCAATGTTCCTCCAATTTATGTCAGTCCATGATGAATACTAAATAACTCTCTAACAATTATTAATGAGGTGCTTCGAGACGGATATCCTGAAGCTCTTATAAGTAGCAGTGACCTGTGGGGTCAATCAAATAGGCAGTGAAGCGAATGCTCACTGATGACCTTGGATGATAACTGTGCTATACCACCAATTGAAAAGGCTAGGAAACGGCGGACCACTGAACTCCGATCAAGTAGTTGAACGGTTATGCAGCAACGGCTAAACTTTAAAGTCCTGAGCTCGACTCAGTCAGGTCGTGGCTGGGAACTGCCACAGTCTCATACTAGTAAAAAACAGTTATCCAGTGCTTCCGGGTTTTCAACTGATCTTTAGCTGATATCAGTCAGTGATGAATATTACCTTGAAAATCATATTTACTGACAAATGAGAAGTGATTAAAAAAACGTCAAATGAGAGTCACTTTTTAGTAAAACAAAAGTAAACTTTAAAGACGTTTTGAGAAGCTTTAAAAACAAAGTTACCCCAGGAATTTCGACATATGTACAACTAAACTCATGATACTCCAGGCCAGGTGAAAATAGCGGCTAAACAATTCCACAAACTTTAAGAATTAGGATTTTTTGTTCCCAATAGGTGAAATAAAACAAAAAAACCATATGGATTTCTTCATCATTCGAATAGAAATCCCTTCAGCAACATTGTGCACATTCGTGCAGCAGACAATGAGCCAAACCTATCGTGTGAGGGCTACTGAATACTACGTGGGTGCCTAAACCTCTGGAGGTAAAACTGGGTTCGGACCCATGACCTACCAACTGCTTAAACCAATATACTACAACTCCATTTTTATGAATGCGCTAACTTTGGTCAACGTAGTTTAACTGTCTCTTGGAAACAATTAAACTGGTACATAGCCTAGTGTAAAAATTAGTTATCGTGATCAAATTACAACACTTTCTAAAAGGACATCTTTTTAAAACGACCTATTTTCTCATCTGATGAGTTTATCATACTTACCTTAACCAGCCACAATGAAAAGGGATTTCCAATGGGTTAAGACCTTTATAATCCAAAGGATTTTCAGAGCACAAGATAGGTGATAGAGCAGCAGGTGGTGTTCGATAACTTGTTAGACAAAGGCTGCTGCATTTATGCGATACTATAAATTAAAAACAAGAAAAAAAAACATGCACATAAAACAATCAGAAAGGATACTCTAATCACGTTTGATTGTTGAAATAATACAGGTCGAACAGTTTGATCTAGTGTAGCAATAGAAGATTATAAGTATCAATAAACAACAACTGGTACCCGTTGGACGGGCGATGACTGTCGTTCCCCAGTGGTCTAGTGGATAACGCTTTGACGTCTGAAGCGATGGGTATTAGGTTAGAGTCTCAGTGGGAACATCATTCACTAGGGTTGAGGTACATCCGACTGACGAGTCCCAAATAGGACGAAGCGCGTGTCCTGGATTCCAACGCTAGTTATCAAATAGGCCACAATATAATGAATATCAAGGCATCTACACCCACAGTTTAGTAACGGGAAATTACAAGTATATATAAATTAAACATGTCAAATTCACCGATGGTAATAAACGGGTTACCACAACTACAACCATATTAGAATGTACCAAACATCACGAACAGTGGGCAGTAAACTTATCAATCATACGACTTAACACACAATTTTAAAGAAATCTAGATAATGAGACGTCTATTCTAGAATTATACACCACAATCAGCCAATTACTAACACTTCACAAAAGGCATGCATAAATTCTGCTTTGTTCTTGGTACCACTCACTAGTTATCGTACCCATGATACCGGTAAACTAATGAATCAATAATCTTGTGATTAGAGCCTAAGAAAACAGAACTAATCTGTTCAATTCAACAACACTCTAAAATCAATTTAACTTCGGGGTTTGTGAGGATTTTTGATTTCAAGTTGGTATTTATCATGGATTGATATCAGTTCAAAGAATATTCGAAACCTGGTAAAACTGGACAGATGTTTCATCCTAATATGGGACTTTTCAGCAGTACGCACCCATCGCTCCGCACCACCACGGATCGAACCCACGACCTTCAGGCTCCATGGCCAACACGTTACCACTCGGTCGGAATCCAATGGTCAATATTTCCAACTTCTAGTGCTATAGCTTCAAGAGGTGATTCCTGAAGTTCTAATGAGAAGTCGTGACCAGTGGGGCAAACCTGGTGGACATGAGAACGAATACTCAACGATGACATTACGTGATGGTCGCGTTATGTCGTGAACTGATAAAAGTTGGGAATATGGGCCATTAGATTCCAACCCAGTGGCTCAATGGTAACGTGCTGGCCACAGAACCTGAAGGTCGTGGATTCGAACACTGGCGGTGCGAGGTAGTGGGTGCGCATTGCTGAGGAGTCCCAAACTAGGACGAAACATCTGACCAGTACCCTCAGGTCTCTAAAGTTCCTCCAACTGATGTCAGTCCATGATGAATACAAACTTGAAAACACTATTAGAGTAACCTCAGAAACGTGGTAGGTAACACAGCGAAATTTAAGTCATAAGCTTTTTATTGTTTGAGATTCGTCACCTGCAAGCAACTATATACCAGTGGCACTTAAACCAAGTACACACTATTGCACATACTACAACATTATCCACTAAAATACTGAACTCTAATAATTATCTCACACTTAGTGGGTAGTTGTTGTTAAAGCATTTTCTGCAGCCTGAAATGAGAACGGAAATGAATGAGATACAGAAGCAATATGAATAGTGGTTTAATACGTTTTCCTCTAATCATGGATTATTAATGAAAAATAAAACAAAAAATGCACGAAGTATTTTTCCTTTCAGTGAATATGTATACACATCAAACTAACCAGCAGATATGTTGATACATAGAAGGTTTACTTTAACAGGCTAATTCACAGTGAACTTATATTCAGGAATAAACATTAGCTTACCAAACGGTTTATAATTAATCTCCTTGAAGAGATTGTCTAAGTAGGTAAATTTATTACCAGCTGCTTCTAATTCAGATAAGCTGATCAACGGATCAACATCACAACGTTGTCCATTGATAGTTTTCTCAGAAGAGTTAGATTTCATTTTTGTCACCGCATCATAATCCAATTGTTTATTACGCGTAATATTGTTCTTTGTATACGAATCTCGATCAGATAATGCATAATTTGGTACATTTACATTTCGATTACCTGTGGCTGATTTACGAGCTTTACGACGTTTAGCACCAGAGTTTAATGCTTGAATAAATCAAAGATAAAAGAATATTTAATTGAAGGCTTAAGTATTCTGGATCACGTATAACTATTTGATTTTTGACTTTGTAAAGCATATCGACTTCACAAAACCTTTTTGTAAAAAACAAACACTTTATTAAGTAGGAAATAATCACACCTGCAAAAAATCTTTGAGTTTTATGAGATTAATACCATCTAACACTGTCACAGATAAAAGGTAGCAAACTAAACAACAACAATTTCACTCATCATATATATCATGGCAACTGCAGAAAGTGTTCACTAAATATACACAATGCAGACAAATGCGTGCGCAACTTGATCCATATCGCTGCCAATCTGACAATCACTGAATCGACTTTTCGTCTACCGTCTTTACATCAAGTTTTCTGTTAACGTAATTCATTACTTTTATGAGGAAAGTACACTAGAGCAGATGTTTTCTGAGTATACTCAGCATATAACGTCATTATATTCACTTATGCTTACAGTTAACATCTGCTTTCTACTCATTCATAAAAAGTGGTCGTTATCAAGACTTCATTCCCTAAATAATTATTGTACTTCATGAATGCAAGTGTGTTACGTAATCTCATCTAAATAATTGTTCATTTTTGAAAGCCATTTTATACTCTACCCAGTACTCTTCAAATAACTTCAATCTGTGAAAACTCTGTCCACGCCTAACAAATATCTAAAATCACCACTTAAATTAAGGCTAAGTTAATCAAACTATTGACAAAAGCTTTTGTATCACATTGATTTACAATACCGTAATACAAGGAACAAGCTAAAACTGAAGACAAAGCCCTTTTGATAAGAAAAATTAAGCTTACAGACATCCGTATTGTTGTACTCGACTTCAACGCGTTGATTATGACTTGGTACTGTTCTACTTTGACTAGAAAACTGAAAAAGTATTAAAAAAAAACTAAATTACACCACTGATAAATGACGTTATTAGTAATGATTGAAGGTAGACTGAAAATTTAGGCCACGGCAGGATTCTAATCATAGACCATGGGGTATCCAGTGTTGAAAATCAACAAAACAAATATCATAGTTTTAAATCGTTTATTAGTTTTAGGCGTTAAACCAAACCATTTAGACTCAGTCAGAGATGGCTTCAGTCAGCGTATCAGATCGGCTGTAGATTTCCTAATTTTGCTCATGACAGTATCTGTAAGTTTCTTGATCTCTTCATATGGTTCTGTTTAGATATGTTTGTCAATTTTGTTGAGATAATCCAATTTGCCCATTACTATTGAATTACCTTTATCAGATTCGGTAATTACTACGTTATTGTCGTTTCGTTCAGCGATTATCGCAGCCACTAAGCCTAATGCCATTTCTTTGCTAGGTATGACCTTTTTCAGGTCTTAGATGACCTACTGTTACGTTGAAGTTTAGTCCTTTTTCATGTACTTTTGTTTGTTAGACGGATTCCATCCTATGATACATGAAGTGTACACCAGTGGGAATTTTCGAACCAGTGGAACGTACACATCCTGAACTGTTAGCCTTGAACTATACGTCTAACTGACTTACGTAAGTGAATAGAAACTCTTTTGAAATCTATTCAAACATACAGTTCATCTTCAAGAATGAGAAATGTTTAAGTCCCCTGAAACATTGAATTCCACCATTTAGTTTCATCAACAATTAAGTTTTTACAGCGTTGTCTATAAGTTACTGTAGAATAAAAACACTAGTGAAATCCTAATGGTAAATTAAAGCGAATTTTCGGAGTTTCTTAACCTCGTTCAAACCGCTTTTTAGTTGTTGTGTTTACAGGATACAGTCAAACTGCTGACTGACCTGGTAATGGAAAATTCAAACAGATTTTTATATGTTAGGCAATCTAGATCTGGCGTAGCTGAAGAAGCCTTCAACTACCTATATCAGTCAACAGTACACTATCCCTTGCAGAACTTTTTCAACTTTTTATAAGCTTTCATTTTTACTAACTTCCCGGTAGTGTGAACCCACTTAAGGCAGTTCATTTTTTTAAAACATTCGATCCAAAGCAATATTCCTTTCGAAAACTAAGCCATGGTCACCGCTTACACACATACACACACACACACAAACTTTATTGTGCCTATCAACTTTATCACATTATAACTTTTGGCGGTATCAGAACTTGATTTTTATTATTATTTGTCACTTGGGTTCCTAGTGGAATATAGGGCTCCAGTAACATGTCGCTCACCATTTCACTCTCTTCTCTGCAGTCTTCCTAACCTGCATCCACCTATGCCCACAAGCTTTTATTCCTTCCTCACACCGTCTCCTCCATGTCACCCACGGACGCCCAACTCAGCGTTTACAATTGGCGATCCACTCGAGAACCTCGCCTGACGCGTGATGTCCCCAATCCGTCTCCTCCATGTATGCCCAATCCATCTCAACCTTCTTCTTCCCCATATTTGTTGCCCCATGCCTTGTTGGTTGGTTCGTTGCCAGCCAACCACCCAGAGGTCCTCGTTACTTATTCTTATTATTCTGGTCATGTGATCTTCAGTATCCAGCGTAGGCGGCAGATGTTCATGAATGTTTCGAGTTTCGTGGAAATCTTTTCTGTAACGCACCAACTCTCTCAACCATCACATACAAGCACTGACTTGACTGACATCAGCCTTGAAAATCCAGATCTTCTTCACACTTTACACTCACTGGAGTGCAGCACATCTCCACACTGATTTACGGTTAATCAAGGCCTGTCTTACTGTCTTTCCGATCCCGACTTTGACATCCTCATCTGTGCAGCCACCACCTGTAGTTCAAACGATACTACACGCCTACGTAGGTCAAAGAGACTACTTCCTTTAGATTACTCCCGTTCGTCGTGATTCGTGTCTCTTGTTTCTGTTGTTGCTCCTGTATCTTCATCACCTCTGTCTTCTCTACCTTCATCTGAAAGAAGTCCCGTCTTCGCTGCCTCGCATCGTCTCTTCTGCCAACTTTTTAGTTTTCGCCTGTGGATCTTCGAGTTTCTGTGACAACACATTAGACATAAATCATCATCATCATCATCATCATCATAGGTGGCGAAGTCCGAATCTTCTAGGCTCTTTTCATCGCTTCAGCCAGCGTATGCCCGTCTTCTTGCTCCTCACGGTTACTGCATGGTCCAGTCAAGTCGACCACAGTTAGGAAGATCGTCGGTGATAGTAGGCGGCAGTCTTGTCCTACTCCTGTCTTCACCTCAAAGGCATCACTGACTAGCTCTCCATTATGAAACACTTGGCATGTGGCGTCGTCATATGGCTGTTGAATGAGGTTGATAAAGGTTTGTGGCACTAAAACCGTAGGGTTGAAGCAGCTTTCTGTCAAATTACTTCTCAGTCGACGCTGTCGAAAGCCTTTTCAAATTCGATGAAGTTGAGGTAAGGTCAAGAGTTGACTGCCGTTCTGTACTCTGTTCTATGATGATGCGTAGCGTCGCGTTGCAATTTGATCCGCACATGATTTGTTCGTCCTGAAGCCAGCCAGCCAGCCTGTTCTGGTCGTAATTTCGAATCCAGCGCATCTCTCCAGGATGATGCGGCTTAATATTTTGCTTGCTTGGGGTGGACACGGATGGAGCATGATTCCTCGCCAGTTCTTGCAAACACTAAGGTCTCCCTTGTTTGAGAGTTTGACAATCAATCGACAGGTTCCTTTCCTTACTTCCTTGCAGACCTTCTGGAGTAGTGGTGTGAGCATGTCCGCTGTTGTCTCTGCATCTGTTTTCAGTGCTTCTGGTGGAATTCCATCTGGTCCTGCTGCTTTCCCGGCTTTCAACATAATCTTTATTGATGAAACAATAATACTTGAAGAACCATCTAGAATTGCGGAGAAAACGGCTGTTTTTGTCCAAGTCTAGAATTCTTCAACAGTATTTATCTACTTATTTATTTTTCGAAACATAAGCTGATAAATTCAAGAATTATAAGTTTATAGGTTTACGCTTAACCATGATTAAAAACGCATAACCATGAGTTGAATAAATGAGGACAAAATCTGCTTGTCAAGTAAAAACTGAAAGTATCGGGTTAAATTTCAAACCATAACGAAGCGAATGCATAGCAGACAGACAGACAATATCAACACAGACCATAGCACAAACATGAATCGGTTCAACTTGCCACACTTCCCAACAGCATGCGAAGAACAAGTGGACACAAAAAGACTGATATTAAAGTAGACAAAAGTGTACGGGAGGAGAAATAAGTTGAAAGTAAAGGTTTGTCCGAATATTCAAGCTTTAGAAGACATCAAACAGTGAATACATCTGTGCCACTGTGACCAATTTTCAGACATTTCACAGACTCCTCAATCAGTGGTTCCTATCGTCTCGGGGACCCCAACCAGGCAATCTACATCTCCCCATACGGTTCAGATCAACAATCAGGTGCTTTATTATTAACTGGTGCTACGTCTCCGTCTGGTCATCATGAACCCCATTCCAAGCTAACTCAACTTTCTCTAGCACGGCACTACATAGTACCTTTATGTTTACAGTATTTTTCCAACTAATGTCAACTAGTGATGAATACTATCTTTAAATTAATCAAAAGTGCCCATATGTCACCGAAACTAACAATTTGAGTAATATAATTACTTCGTACGCAATATATTATAATGCATAACAAATAAGAGATATGCATTGAGGAAGATGCTATTTCACAAAAAAACTATAAACATATCTTACCAAGTCACTGAAAAGTGGTTCTAAACGAGTAGAGCCACGATAAATCCATTCAGAATGAGTTCTAGAAAACCTCATAAGAGCCAAGCTTGCATCTACTTTCTCTACAGTTGCTGGCATCCAATCACCATCCAGTTCAGTTTCAATAATCTGTCCAGGTTTAAGTCTTACCATAGGACGCTGAAACATATACACGAAAAAGTTTATTCTAACGAGTTAAACATGAATTAAAGCAGATCGAACATTCATAACGTTAACTGGTCATATGAAACAGAAAAAGTAAATAACATGATTCTATATGCGGAACATAATACATCCTAGTGTACGTCTAGCGTACTTTCTCTTGAGGTCAAGAGTTAACAGAAGTTGTGATGTACACAAGAAATAATACAGCTAACTAATAGAAAGCATTAAAATACCAGAAAGAAAATACTGTAAGTTTAAGAATGATCAAAAGTCATATATATAAGGTCAAATTAAGCCATGATTCATGTAAAATCATCCCTGTGAAATTTCACTGCAATTCTGTCTTTCTATCAGGACTTTACAAAAAAACTATCTGCTGTATATGGTATCTCAATCGAACAATAGACTGAAGCATTCGTTGACGGTTCGAGGTGAAATCTAAGATTCCCACTTAAAAATATTTGAGATGAATCAGTTGAATATCGTTTCACATTAATGAGTACTTTTTTCAGTTCCTACAACATTCAACTGGCTTACGATAGTTACCTTTTGTTTAACCACTTTTAAAAGTCAACAAGACCTATATATCTATGTTGTTTTTCTAAATGAACTGAAATGGTAGGTCTATGACTGTTTACTTTCCTTTTTGTACAGTTCCATGTAACATTTTGAAAATATGTATTGTAAACAAACAAGTGTGCTTCATCCCCTTGCAAATGCTTAAGCAGGCTAGACAAATGTATACACCCCGTATGAAACAAAGCAATGAAATAAGGTCTATGAAACTGTCAACATTATCTTGAAAACAGTAAGCAAAGAAAAGTCAGAAGTACTGTTGAAAAGACCCCTTAAGTGATTACTTCTCACTAACCTGTGGGTATTGAGCTAAATACCGTTTAATAAACTCTTGAGATGATTCGGTGGCTTTTCTCCAGTTCTCTTTGGCTATAAAGAATCATATATAGATTAGTAAAAAATACACTGACAACTTACACTGGTGACATATACGATAGATTTCACTTGGCGGGGAATACTGTGTATAACCATCATCGAAGAATAATAGATACCTGAGTAAGTTGATGTAACAGAATGTTATTCAACTGAAAGTTATGCTTACCTTTGACTATTTCTTTCACTGGGAGGTTCAGCAATCAACCCAGAGTAATAACCAATTCCACCAGTATCATCTCGATAAATTGCTAAAATATGAAAAAATCAAAAGTTTTTAAGCTAAAGGAAATTAATGATCACTAGGCTTTCAGTATACATGTTAATATATTGATAAGAAAATCATTAAAAACAAGGGAATAATTGAAGAACTTTTCAACCGGTTGCACTACTTTTTAGTGTTACACACTAGATTATCGTCTCTCTTACTCTACAAATGTCTATCAGCTTTGGCACCAAAAACTTCGATTGCAATAGCTCGTGATAAAACACCACTTAACCAAAGCAAAAGATTTGCTCTCACTTCAAGACGAACTTCTCATCATTACAATATAAAACAGTTGTTCTCATATTGGTTTAACTGATGGATGATGATTTACGATGACAATAATTTCGATAAATCATCAAATCAAACAACAAAAGTAAGTTAGTTGGTTGGAGTCAATCGGTAGAAAGCCTTTGATCTAGGTTTCGTTCTTGTTAGCACTCGTCAACAAGGTGTATTTGCAATCTAGAAAGAAATGATAGTCCCTGTGAGAGATTGCAATCCGTATCAAGCCAATATTGCAGTCAATGATGTTATCACTGAACTACTCAGCCTGCGGATGACCTCCTTTATGACTGGATTTCATATACTGGTTGATCACTGGAGGAAAACTAATCTCATATTGTCCAGTCTTAAGTGCTGACTGAATTCTATGGAAATGGAGACATATTTTGAAGTGCATCATTCATCATAATTAAAAAATATAACACAATCTGGAGGTTTATGGGGATTTATTGATTGATTTCAGGTTGATATTTATCATGGACTGATATCAGTAGGAGAAACACTGGAAACGTGGGAGCATTGAACAGCTGTTTCATCCTAGTATAGGACTACTCAATAACACGTATTCATCACCCCGACAGGGCTCGAACCTATAACCTTCACGTTTCCCAGATTTGTAATGGTTCTCTAACTAATGTTAGTCTATGATGAATATCAACCAGAAATATAATAAATATGATAAGAAAGTGTTTGACAATTAAGAGTATAACACTAAAGAAGTTTCAATGACAGTTATTTAAGCTGAAAACTTCTAATAATTTATAGAAGCACTGGAACAGAATAACAAACATGTGAGCTTTAGAAATACTAAAGTCATGTGTAAAGCAATCAGCATGCTATTGTACAGTTTTATTACATGAAATCATCACAAAGAAAAATTTCTTCGTTGTTACGTCTTCCCTTGATTACGTAATTTGGGAATTTCGCGTTCTAAAAGAGATTTCTATCGAGAACCTATACTGTCAGTGTGGAATATTGATCAAGTGAGCAATAATATGCATGAAGACATAGCGAAGTATATGGATACAGTGTCTCAATAAAGGCATATCTAACTGTTGTACACTTTTTGGTGTCAAAAACGAGATATTCAGCGAAGAGGACTCTTTTTAATGAATTTATTCTCAAACTATACATTCGTATATATATATAACATTTAAAGATTGTAATCCGTGGGGAAGACTTAACTTAATTAACGGCGGGAGGGTTGAAATAATAATAGTGATAATGGTGGTTATAATAATAACGCTGACAATTGATGACGTAAAGGTCGAATGATAACAAAAAGGGCTACGTAAGATATTTAAATCGTCTATAAAGTGCATTAAAAGGGGGATGAAAACGTGATAGAGTTAATAAACAAGTCTCATATTCATATTCAGCCAAACTTCACTTGATCGTTACCAGTCGTAAATTGTTCTCCGTTTATATAAAAGACAATATCCCTCGACAGGTTACATCCAGTGTATCTACCAGTTCACCTGCTCCTGTGAAGCAAAGTACATCGGCCGTAGTCAGAAATTGCTATCAACACATATACGAGAACACATTTCAGCCTGGTTTTATAAGGATGAAAGAAAATGCATCAGAAGTCCAATCCTTGAGTATTTAATCGATTCCAACCATTCAACCGACCCAAACAATGATTTTAAGGTTGTCTATCGAATTCACTCAAACACTTCAAATTTCCTTCGTGTTCAGCCTCTAAAAACAGCAAAGGCCTTAGTTACCCATGAAGTGAAGCCTGACCGCACCCCACCCCCCACCGTTTTTTGTTAGAATAACCTTTGTACTCTTAAATCTTCCTCATTGGTTGTAGTTTTTAATTATTAAGCATACATATATGCGCATGTACAGCTTGAGAATAAATTAATTGAAAAGAGTCCTCTTCACTGAATATCTTGTTTTTGATGTCACAATGAACTTTTTGGTATATCAATAATCCCATTTTAGAAAATTTCATATTCAATCTAATTTAGGCTAAGTAAGTGAATTTTTAACTACTTCAATTAATATACAATGGTTTATTTATTTTTTTAAGGCTTTTAATAGCCATCGATTGTATTATGGGTACTAATCGCACTCTATTTATCGCAGTTTGACAACCACTAACATAACCCATTTCCCAATAGGTATGTTTCTTAGTCTAGTAAATGAAAGTGTAAGTGGTTATTGAATTGTATTATCTGATTATATATGGTGTTATAAAAATAACACAATCATATTCTATCTCTTAATTGACTATTTAAATTACTATAACATTTTCGTAATCATAGAATAATCATTAAAAAACTTTCACTTTTATTAATCCGATGATTGATGAGTTATTCACTTTTTAAAATTATTTTTAATTATAAAACAAATTTATTAACTGAGTTTAATTGTTATTGACTTCAACTAATTTTCAAATCAAATTATATGTGGAAGAAAAAACAAAAAAAAGTAGCTCCACACTTACAAACTACACGAGCACCAACTGGATATTTCTGTTTTAATTCAGCTGCAGAAAATGCTAGTGCCAATGATGAAGGTCCAGTTAAACAGATTTCTGATTTTGATTTTATAGTTTTATCCAAAACAATAGTATACTGAGTGCATTCATTTTCTTTAGCTCTATCTTTATCTGATTTATATGCAAAAGAATCTGTATTCGGTAAATGACAAGATATTACACGACCAGGAAACCATGTATGTTGAGTTTTACGATACAATACTGGTTGTGATGGTGTCAATCGTCTGTGTAAGGTTTAAGAGATGAATAAAAACAATGTAAACTGAAGTACACATGAATAAATGATACCTTTAAACAAAGAAAAACATGTACATAAAAATAAATACTCTAAATCTACATTTGGATATTGTAAGACAAGAATTTATGCTCTTAGATGATTGGAAATTTAATTTTTGGTTTAAAGAAATCTTCACCGTAGACTGACATCAGTTGGAGGAACAAAGGAAACCTGGAAGCACTGGAAAGCTGTTTCGTCCTAGTACGGGACTCCTCAGCAGTGCGCACCCACGACCCCACCAGCAGGGATCGAACCCGCGACCTTCAGGTTTCGCGGCCAGCGCGTTACCATTCAGCCACTGGGTCAGAATCCAATGCTCCATATTTCCAACTTCTGTTAGCGGGTTCGATCCCTGCTGGTGGGGTCGTGGGTGCGCACTGCTGAGAAGTCCCATACTAGGACGAAACAGCTGTCCAGTGCTCCCAGGTTTCCCTTGTTCCTCCAACTGATCTCAGTCTACGATGAATAACAACTTGAAATAATTCCAAAATCTTCACAACTCCCTCAAAATTTAAAGAAATCTATCAGCTGGCTACAAAAAGTATTAAGAAGGTGTATCAATAAGAAACTTCAGATTGAAGCGAAAATTCAAGTTAAAGACCCTTTGTTTTCAGTTCCTGAAAACTGTGAAAACTATAATGCCAAATTCATGAAATCGGAATACTTATAGCTTACCCTTTTACACTGGATTGATCATAGATTACATTTTGGTCAAAAGAAATGCAATTAATTACACAAACTTAATTGTTTACGCTTATAACAGGAAATATGTCTAAGGAGGTTTCAGTGGAATTCTCATAGATACTCTGAAACATACACAAATTCCATCGATTTTTATTTACCATTCAGTATATCGGCTAAAATCAATAACTTTCGGTTATATTAGGAATCAGTTGTAACCTGAGAAGATTTAATAACCAATTCATATAGATGCAATATTAAAAAATTACTTACAAACCAAGAAGTAATTCTGTTGGCTGCAATGTTCTCCAAATAGGTGCACTGGATGGATTCACAGTACATTCTAAAATACGACTGAACCGAAGTCATTAAAAAGAACAAAGAGTTATTTTCCAATTCAATAAACAGAAAGTTATATAGACATAAATATTGAAATAAGTCATTAGTTGGTCACTAACATGATATATATCCTGATCGAATTCTATAGACTGGCATGTTCAATATCTGCATTTAGTTAACTACAATTATTATTTGACTATCTGAGATAGCCGTAGTTTGGCAGACTAGTATCTATACTGGGTAACGATTGGAGCTGGAATGAAAATCTGGACGATGGCCGCATTCGAACTAGCTACCATCGGGTTTCCGGCCTGATCCTCTACCAACTGAGCTACGAGATCCAAGAGTATCGGGTCAGAAACCCAGTGGTCGCTGGTTCGAACCCGCCCATCGTTCAAATTTTCATTTCACCCTCAATCATCACCCAGTATTAACTACAATTATTGTTTTGGAGGTAAAATCTAGTGGTTTAAAGAATCTCTCATCTATTATATCACAGGTTTAAAACCCCTAAGATTTCATGGATGCACGATATATGTAATCCTCACATAATAGTTTCCCCCTTTATAAACTATTGGAAGTTTCTAAACATATTCAACTGGTCAGGTTACTTAGTTTCAAACCTTCATGAATCAACTTAGTCAGTACAGTCATTTACGTCAAATCACTTAAACAAAAAGGCTATAAAGAGTTGATTTAGTGTTTGGCTTACCGACAGACTTTTAAATATCTAATAAATGTGTTTTATAAGTCAAAATAAATTGAATATAGTAAATTGAAGACATACTTATTTGGTTTTTCAATAACTACAATTTCTTCTTCTTCCTTGGCTAAATCTATAACACGATTATCAAACAAACGTAGAACACGACCAAAGGAACTAAATAATATGCATTAAAGTAATTCTGATTTTTTTTTTAAAACGATATACTTTATTTGAACTTTTGTCATTTGATCAACCATTAAATCAATTTTTCTGTTTAGTTCAAATGCTTCACTTTGTAAAATTGATTGCTCCTTTTTCAATTTATCTAAGTGTGTATTTAAATTTAGTCCTGGTAAACTGTTCATAATTTGATCCATTAAACCAGATTCTTCAAAAGCCAAAGGAAATCGTTGCCGAATAATATGAAGTCTAAGTTTAGGGTTATTTACTTTTATTTTTGAATTGTAATAGTATAAGGTATACTCTTACCATCTTTTAATTCAGCTTGATATTTGTTTTCCACAAAAGAAACAAGAACGTTAAAAAGACTGTCAGTATCCAATCCATTGTAGATAAGTTCAGTTAATTCATTCACAAGAGCTTGATGCTCAGGTTTCAACTGATTCATTTTCATCTGAAAAAAATCAAAAAATGAACCAATTATTGTCTTAACAAAACTGCATGTTTCATGAATTTAAGTTTTCACTGGATAGAGATTAATTTATGCATTATACTAACCCTACACCTTTCTAATGATAACATAATCTTTAAAAAAGCAAAAACAATAAAGGGAACAGGATAAAATGGATTTGTTTTATCCTGTTCTCATTGTTGTTCTTGCTCTCTTCAAACTTATGTATGGGAATTCCTGTATGAGATAATAAAATCATTTGAGAAACAAATTCAGCTTTTACCTCACCTCACTTCATCAAGATATACTTTCTTGAAGTAGATTTTCTGATTACAGAATCCAGTAAACCAAATAGTTGACATATGACTTTCTTATTTTCATCATTTAGGTTTTTGATAGCATCAGATATTCTGAATAATTCATATATTTTTTGATGACTAATCTTTGTTTAAATACTAGTCGTTGCTTAAACGCTACTTACTCTCATACAATTATAGACCTAATAAGGCGTTTTATCGTTTCTTTGAAACGCAAAAATATTTGGTAGAGGGGAACAGCAATAAATGCATCACGTAGCATGAAATCACAATGATGAAATAAGAAAGGAAGATCATGAATAATAACGATGACAGTGAAGACATTTCAAATAAAGATAGAAGCAAGGTGGTGTTTGTTTTTAGCCAGGAGTTTCTCTTCCTTTTAGCTAAACAACATCTTCACTGACTTCAACTTTGAACTATGTAGGATAATGCATCAAGTCACAACATCTACTATGTAAGAAGCCCACTGAACAAGAGTGATCTCAGACAAAGACTTCTGACAATCTGATTTCTTTTGCGCTTCAATTATTTCAGTCACATGCGTCACATAATTACTACTACTGTGATTTGAGAAGCATATCCTATCCTATCGTGAACATAAATATTTCAGTCTTTCCTCACACCACAACACAGTCACTTTGTAGTGATCTCAAGAACCATATCAATCGGGAAATTACTTAATACAGCAGAAATCGAACAACCCAACCGAATTCCAATCCTGGCTGGAAACGATGGGCAAACTCGCTAATACATTCTTCATTCAAATAAGGCATTCTTATTCACAATTAACATGACAAGCACTTCTCTAACTTCAAAATTAATAGATTAGATGGTAATACAGATGCTGAATTCCGATGTTAATCATTGTTACTCCTAGTTAAACCTGCTTTAAATATCAACATCGTGTTCAAAAAACGTGTTATCAATTTTCTTTAACTTTTAAGCGGAAGTATTGAAGGGATGGTAAAATCATAATCAGTCACGATATAAGATTCTACAAAAATAACTGTCTTAGATCAGACTGCCTGATGAAAAAGGGTGTGCTACCTGACAAGTTTAAAAGTGGCATAACTAGATACCTAATCACCTGACACAATAAGCCTAAATGACGATTCAACAAACAGTGGTCTATGCGACTATGCGATCTATGTTGCGCTCATTCGACAGAAATAGGCAGGAAAAAACACTATAATAGCACAGGAAACTATCCATTTTCAAACAATATATGAAAGGATATAGATATCACGAAACAGAGGTTAGGTGCCAGCGTTTGAGAAACAGACAGAATCAAAGAATCCTACACAGAAGTATATCCATTTATGTTAGCACATTCCGCAGTAGTATGCATAGGGCAAATGGGTAGAAACTTACATTGAAGTAGGCGAATTTGTAAATCAAGACAGAATTTTTACAAAGAACTTTTATGAAAATGTTGAAGTTCTGAAGCATGTGTCCGTCACTGCAACCGAGTTTTGGCCATACCGCCTAAAGCCTCTGATAATTAAAATACGTTATTTCGAGGACCATGCCCAGAAAGCCCGAACCTTCCTTCATAGTTCAGACTAAAAGTCAAAGACTACATAGACTGCTGCCATCACTCGGTCTTACCACCGTTCACCTTTTTCCAACTCAATTCTACTTCAGCTAGCGTTGGACGTCACGTTAGGCGATGTCGCGGCATACTTAAGACATCCCAACTAAATTAGTCGCTGAAGGTTCCCAGCCTCATCAATTGACTTGCTTTATTTGCTTACTAGCCACCACAACCTGAAAATAACCCAAACAGTAGTTCTGCCATTCGCCAGCGATGATGTGAATACATCTGTGGTAAAAAAACTCTAGTCTCATATTACTCTGTGACCATGCCTCACCAATGTATTATAGAACAGATGGAACTCCTGCCTAATATATGGATATTTCAGTAGGTGATCGGTTATCTCGCCACCCACAAGAGATGAAGTAGGTTGGCAAACACTAAGCAGGGCATTTCGTATGCAAACGCAATTGTCATCAGTAGCTATCCTGTTTGAACGAATGTAACTCCTCAAGTGAAGAGATCAACGCGTTGAATCACTTCACTCCTTATCTCGAAACTACGAGTCAGTTGAAATCAGTGCCGAAGTATCATTTTACACTTGTCAGGTACAAAATACGTGCCAAATGAACTCACACTTCTGCTCAAAGTATTTAAAACTCTGAAACTGATAGAGGAGAGGAAGATGGTGAAGCAGACGACAAACTAGTGTAAGGATGAACACCGAAAAGAGGAACTGAACACAACCCACAAAACACTGGACAGAGAAGTGAAGAAGAGTGCGGGCAAAGACAAAAAACACTTCTACGACACATTGGCAAGTGAAGCAGAACAGGCTATAGGTAGGAGAGACAGAAACCTGACAACATTATATCAAATAACCACGTTACTATCTAATAAAAGATCAACGCAGACAAAACCAATGAAAGATAGTGAAGTAAACCTAGTTTCCTAAGAGGAGAAACAAAGGAAACGATGGGCTGACTACTTCAGAAAACTCTTGAATCGACCACTACCAACACCTGAAACTCGTCCAGAAATACCACCAGCAGCCCAGCTACAGAACTACAAGTGAACACAAGCCCTCCAACAAAAGCAGAAGTCTTGAATGCCATAAAACTGCTGAAATCCGAAAAAGCAGCAGGACCAGATGGAATTCCACCAGAAGCACTGAAAACAGACGCAGAGACAACAGCGGACATGCTCACACCACTACTCCAGAAGGTCTGCAAGGAAGTAAGGAAAGGAACCTGTCGATTGATTGTCAAACTCTCAAACAAGGGAGACCTTAGTGTTTGCAAGAACTGGCGAGGAATCATGCTCCATCCGTGTCCACCCCAAGCAAGCAAAATATTAAGCCGCATCATCCTGGAGAGATGCGCTGGATTCGAAATTACGACCAGAACAGGCTGGCTGGCTGGCTGGCTGGCTGGCTGGCTGGCTGGCTGGCTGGCTGGCTGGCTGGCTGGCTGGCTGGCTGGCTGGCTGGCTGGCTGGCTGGCTGGCTGGCTGGCTGGCTGGCTGGCTTCAGGACGAACAAATCATGTGCGGATCAAATTGCAACGCGACGCTACGCATCATCATAGAACAGAGTACAGAACGGCAGTCAACTCTTGACCTTACCTCAACTTCATCGAATTTGAAAAGGCTTTCGACAGCGTCGACTGAGAAGTAATTTGACAGAAAGCTGCTTCAACCCTACGGTTTTAGTGCCACAAACCTTTATCAACCTCATTCAACAGCCATATGACGACGCCACATGCCAAGTGTTTCATAATGGAGAGCTAGTCAGTGATGCCTTTGAGGTGAAGACAGGAGTAGGACAAGACTGCCGCCTACTATCACCGACGATCTTCCTAACTGTGGTCGACTTGACTGGACCATGCAGTAACCGTGAGGAGCAAGAAGACGGGCATACGCTGGCTGAAGCGATGAAAAGAGCCTAGAAGATTCGGACTTCGCCACCTATGATGATGATGATGATGATGATGATGATTTATGTCTAATGTGTTGTCACAGAAACTCGAAGATCCACAGGCGAAAACTAAAAAGTTGGCAGAAGAGACGATGCGAGGCAGCGAAGACGGGACTTCTTTCAGATGAAGGTAGAGAAGACAGAGGTGATGAAGATACAGGAGCAACAACAGAAACAAGAGACACGAATCACGACGAACGGGAGTAATCTAAAGGAAGTAGTCTCTTTGACCTACGTAGGCGTGTAGTATCGTTTGAACTACAGGTGGTGGCTGCACAGATGAGGATGTCAAAGCCGGGATCGGAAAGACAGTAAGACAGGCTTTCATTAATCTGAAACCAGCTTGGAGATCTTCTGCACTCTGCATAAAGCGTGAACAAGATCCAGATTTTCAGGACCAACGTCAAGTCAGTGCCTCTATATGGTTCAGAAACTTGGCGTATTAGGAAAAGCATTTCCAACAATCTCGAGACATTCATCAACATCTGCCGCCTACGCTGGATACTGAAGATCATATCACATCAGATGGCCAGGAAGAATAAGCAACAAGGAACCCTGGTAACGAATCAATCAAGAATCTATCGCCAAACTGATATCCAGAAGAAGAAGGTGGAGATGGATTAGGCACACAGTGAGGAAACCATTCGGAGATATCATGAGCTAGGCCCTCCAGCGGAAACGACGAGTTGGGTATCCGAGGCGAGGATGCCATGGAAGAGATCATGTAAGGAAGAAATGAAAGCTTGTGGGTAGTCGCGGGGCCAGGTTCAAAAGACTGCAGGGAACAGAATGCAATGGAGATGTGCTACTGAAGCCCTATGCTTCACTAGGAACCCGAGGGACGCCCATAGGCGGTAAATTCTGTAACACTTCTTAGCCTTCTAAGCTCTGAAAAAGTACTGTTCACGTACAAGCTAAAACTTTCCCTCGAAACATTTATTCCTCCCCTCCCCCCAATATCTACGAGATGACACTAAGAAGCGCTAACTGATCCAAATACTTAAAATTATGCCGAATACGTACAAAACGTTAGCACAGAAAAAATATTGCGAGGCGAAGATAACTCAATTCAAAAAAGAAGTGAACAACTGTTTACGAAAACATAGGATACTACCTGCATGGACCAGAATGAACCAGTTGAATCCTTTCGACTGCAACTTACAGCATATTTAGCAGCGTCACAGTCGACATTTGCGCTGTTCAATATCCAATACCTGTTACGCAAGCTTGTGTAATCAGCTGATTACTTCATGCTGGCTTCTTGGTCTTGCAGAACGGCTCCAGGTCTTTGGCGGATTCTGATGCACTAGATGTAGCCACTCGGCTGCTATACCTGTAGTGTACAGAACAGAAGGTTGAGTGTTGGTTAGTTTGTTTGGGACTGTGGTGCAGTTAGGGTTCTTCAAATATCCGGTTGATAGACTGATCGTTAGACAGAGTTAGGGATAATGAACAGACAACTGAGAAAGCCGAATGTGTGTGAGTTAACGACTAACAGAAGTGAACTGATGGAGTAATCTACATAAATCCAAGACGAGAGGAGTACAGAGATATGAAGAACTTAGGCGGCTGAGGCTAGTTAACAGCAAGTGAAAGGGATTAAATGATTACTGTAGGAGTAAAACTGATGTACAGCTAACATGGTTGGGGTGGTGTGGCGACAGCTGATTTCTTCAGTCCAGTTCGTATCCCAACCAGATATGAGAAAACGATGGGTCTCTACTAGACTATCTGGAATTTTCTTCCAAACATTGAAAGGTGGGGTGGAGACTTCATCTGATAGTAATGTATTCTAGATCCCACGGACTTGAAGCGAGAAGAAACGTTAACCGACAAGTTTTTGACATTTGGTGGGCAATTCTCTCAGGGTAGGAAGCGTCACTCACTTCTCCAAAACCAATGGCCAAGGGTTCGACGGCATTCGACATCGATGCCAACCCTCATAGTTTTACCAGATCCGCTGAGCTGAGGGCCTACGGCCGAGCATCCACGCCACTTAGCAGGCTGCCGCATTACGCTGCACTGCTCGTAATGGACTCCCTAGCCAGTTGGTGGGAATGCATCGGTATCTTGGCTCGACCTCGCAAATTTGCTATTCCAGCCGACTTCCTTGGCCTCGTACTCATGGGTATATAACAAGGACGAACAACTAGTGATTGGCCTCTGAGTCTGTCAAGTTTGCCCCAGGACGCTTCCCAATGTCCTCTTAGTGAAGCGCCGTAGTTCTCATTGTGCAGTATTCTTCACTTCCTGTGGCCTGGGTTTCTCAGTACTTAGTGGGCCAATATCAAATCACCCCATAACCTCCGTTAACTATGTGAACGTTGGCCTGGCTCTTTTTATCCATCCTCCTATGGTTTTCTGTCAATCCCAACAGCCCCTTTCGCGACTCGCCTCTGAACTTTCCACAGTAGGTTCGTGCTTCTTTTCAGTTGTGTTGCAGCTAAGACGCTGTGAACGTACAAGTGGGATCATATACAGGTCTTATAGGGTTTCGAAAGGTGCTCTGGGGTGAAGGCACCTAGCTGTCTGAGCGCGGGGTTTAGTACACCGTATGCTTCCGAGGCATCTCCTGGGTAACTGGAGCTGGTGTCCAGTTTTCCCGCCACCCCTGAACCCAGGCCTCTTTCTGCCGTGGTACAAGAAAGATGTGAACCACAGAGTGAGTGGGACACTTTCCACGGGTCAATAGAGCGGAAAAAAGTGAACCGGCATGTGTGCAGGTCAAGTGCCGACTCATTATTTGTCGTCGATTGCCGGGCCGAACACTAACATGACATGATCGCTGTTTCCAAGAGGGGTTTGGACCTGGACGTTTGCAACTGATAGATGATCATCGGTCAGCAGACAGTCCAGTTTAGATGGTCTACCATCTGACTTCCAGTGGGTATCTTCGCTAGTTTCTTCGTGCAGCCCCGGCCATTTGGATGGCACTTAGTAAGTTATGGTTGAACTTCCAGCCCGGAATTGTGCTGACTTGCTCTAGACTGAGAGTTGGGGCGCTGGGGTCACCAGCCATTAGGATCTGGCCATACCCTATGTTAGACGCTGGATACTGCTTGGAGTAATCTTTGATTGTGTTGCACGTTGCTATTGGGGACCTACAGGCTCCTCCAACCAGGTAATTGTGTGTTTGACAGTGAGATAGCTCTGTCAATACAGTATCCTTGGTTTGTTCACTTTCGAACCATCCATTCACGCCTCTGTGTTACCAGCCCCTCCTGAACAAAAGAAAGTCCGGCGGCAACCATGTTTCCATCAGGATTATGACTTTCGGAACACGGTCGGAAGAGAGCTATCGGAGATCCAATATTGTACTACAGAGTCCTCTCACATTACTGTAAAGACACCTGGAAGCGCTTCTTGCGATGTGAGATGTCTCCGGGTTAGCTAGTAGTACAGGTCTGGATGTGGTAAGGGTTTTCACTTACCTGCCTGCTCCAATGGACCCGGCTCAGTAAAGTTTTTCCACAGGTCAATTGGTGCAGTTGTTGTTGGGTGAAGGTTGCCTACCTGACTCTCGACATGTCAATTCGGGGTGACGGCGACCTGGGCACCGGGAAGTAACTGCTGTTTGTGGTCGCAGTGTACTCGATCTGCTTTTACAGTAGAGAACATTTCCGCTTACGGTGCTTTCGACCTTATGTCACGTCTTTGGTACTATGGTAAGAACCTCACGGAATTTAAAATTAACGACCATTAGTCCAGTTGGGGCTATGGTCGTCAGGTGCTAGGGGGCCCGGCAGCCTGCCGATTGCCACTGCTGCAACTCCACTTGGCTCCATCCAAGCCGATGATCGCTCCCATTGTTAGGCGTCATTGGTGTACTAACCACCTGAGGTACCACTTGCCGGCTCAAGCATTCCATTATGACCATGGCCGTGGAATTTTGTGGATCAGGTGCTTCTCGAGATACCCTCCCCGGCACTCACTATCTGTCGGATCTAGCTGTACTGCTGGATGATCTGTTGATGACCGGGGGTGTGGAGGTAAAGGGAACCTTTCAGCACCTCTGGTAGGGTCTAGAATCATTCTCATCGACGGAAGCTTCCCTGGGGGTGAATGGGTGTCTCTGTACAGTCGACACAGTTTTGCCCCGAAGCCGCCCGAACCCAGCATGATACAAAAGGTGTCACACTGTTGCCTGTCAAACATGTTTTTATCCTCTAAAGGGCTATCATTGCAGACAGGAACGTCAAACAGAATGATAGAGCTAGGTCGGTCAGGGATTCCTACATTATCTGGTACTATAGGCGCATTTCATGGATAAGTCGAGCTATTTTCTCCACCCGAACACATTAATTAGGTTGCCCTCTGGTGACCATCGTTGACAGGACCCCAGAGCTTAAGGCAGATTTGGATGCCTTTGGCGTAAACAGTCTTTATTTCGATTTTGGACCGCCTAGGTATGTGGCCTTCCGTGGCCCATCAGTGACAGCCTTCGGAATCTCCTCCATGGAAGTGGCGTGGCGGCTACTGGGAGTTTATCAGCCTATTTAACGTCGCGGTATGTTCAAAATTGTCTTACATTTCAACGTGATTTCTGTTGTTTTCTCTGAATCGGTTTGCCTGTGTACTATGTTATCTATTACTGCTTCAGGAGTAGTAATGCATAAGTATATCATATTTGGTTAGCAAATTTGTTCGACTGCCCAGTATCCGTCTCCAAATGCAATGAGGTAGATGGCCCAACCTGTAGTTTGGAAGCAGGAGAAATTATTTCTGCGCGGCGATCATCAGAGCCTTGGACACTGCCTCCGGAATGTATGCGAGACTGGAGGAGAACTAAGGTGATATTGCTAATATTAGAGTTATCTTAGATAATATTCGAAGGACACATGAGAAGTTCTCTCCACTAACTCGTTTATCAGGCCAAACTGATAACCTATCAAGTGACCAATTGGAGGAGGCCGACAGTTTAGTAGATATCACCGCTATTGAGGTAATAAAGTGATTAGCATCATCTCAGCGGGCCACCGTGTATAATGTACCCGAAAACTAAGACCCCCGATCCTACGGTATGGTTATTGTACCCTACGACTGTAAACGTTTACATGGAAAAGTTTCACAAGGCACTCGCCACATGATCCTCAAGTTTCTGATGCCATTTGGCACCAGAATGCTTATTGGTCCGCAGAACGGCATGAGAGATAAGTGCAATTTCAAAAAATCACTATCACACAAGGTAAAACACCGTGTAAACGTAGACAGTGCTTTGAGAATGGTTGAGTCTTTCCTTCTACAAGTTTAGAGGAGCCTGAAGGCATGGAAGGAACTTTTGACGAAGAGAAAGTGTGTAGTAATCCGCCAGTACCGCCTGAGAAAGAGGCGCTTGCGGACTTCATTGGGGCTTCTCCAGTGAGCTTGGCAGAGCCTGAAGGGTTGAAACATAATGCGAAAATCAAGCGGAGTGTTCCGTTTCAAAACAGTGAAAAATCACTCATTATCAAAATGAGATTCAATATAAATACGTACTACCAAGACACATAAGCAATTTTCCCGGAATAAAAAGCTATAAGTTCACATGGCTCGCAACAACTCAGATTTTAAAGGCGGGAATTGCGATAGAAAATAATGCCTCGACAAACATATAAGTAAATAAATATTTTGTCCTCAAATTAAGAATTCAAACCGGGAGAGGCCAGTTCACGGGCATCATCAAATTGATAATGGTTGAGAAATCTACATTAATTGAGCTGTCCTGAATGGTATAGAAGATGGGACATCAGAGCTCATCATAATATCAAAAGTGTATGCAGGAAAATATAACTTCACAGAACGTACAGATTGCTTACTAGTTCCACCATTCTCTTCTCATTATAAAGTGGCACCGAAATCGCACAATATTCGACGTTTGCGTTACATGTGACCGCGATGTTTAACTTGTCGGTATAGTTCCAGGTTTCGTTAGATAAACGTTTATTCTAAAATCAATTCACATGTTTATAGCATCATCGGCCAACCAAAACTCGCTTCATTGATTTCGGATGACAGCAGGTGTCGACGTAACCATCTAGCCCGCGTGAATATAAATGCCCATGCAATTCTTCCTCATGGTGCGTGTGGTTACTGAGCTTGCTTCGGCGTGATGGACAACTATGTTATGATAATAATAATAATAATATATATATTTCATACAACAAGGGTTACATGAATACAAACCAGTTTACAGGTTTGATCATTTTGGTAATGAGAAA